TAATAATTATAATAATAAAATAACAAAACCGTTCTCAATTAGAATATTAAATATTCTTTTTCAGATACTCACTGGTTTGTCTGTCTCCATAACTGATTGCTTCTGCTAAAGGACTCCACCCAGCTAAATTTTTAACCTTAACAGGTACTCCATGAGTCAATAAAACTTGAATACATTCTATGACATTGTAAACATGAGTTGATTATTAGTATCATTTGCCAAATGATGGAAAAAAATAAGTAGAAAAAGAAATGTGAACCTTTTTTTCCGAGCATAACAGCCAAATGTAAAGGAGTATTTCCTAAATTGCAAGTATTAAAACAAAAATTAATATTTAAGTACCACGTGGAAAGTAATAAATTAAATATACAAGAAATTAATCAGATAACATTACCTTGCTTGTCTTTGGCTGTTAGTTGCTTTCTCATACTATTAGTTTTAATCAAAGAATTCAACATTGAAATATCCCCTTCGAAAACACACTTATGAACAGGATATGGTTCAGTCTCAGCCATGATTGTTGCTAACTACTTTACTGTTTAGAGATGTATGCTTATCATACACAGCAAGAAAAATGTAGCTTAAAAATTAACGACCCCCTCCAATGGAACTTTTTTCTCAGAATTGTAAAGTTTGTGTCGCAACTGTAACTACTATCACTATCACTGTTGCAGGTCATTGTTACAGTAAAATAAAAGCTCACAGTAGAAGGCAGGAACACGATGTTCTGCTCGTGGCAGTAGTGGCTCTATCAGATTTGTTGTCAGTCATTTTGTTACTCTGCTCCACAATGAAAACTCCAAATTGGTTGCAACACTCATCCAACTTTTGGTACATAAACGTATTGTATGTTCAAAATACTTATCAAAAGCCGAGATTGAGTCAACGATTTTCGAGTGCGGGACCAATCCAATTGAGGTTCTTTAAAAACTCATTAGAACTCTGCTACTTATAGCTAATGACTTTCAACAAATGTGTCCAAAGTAAAACAGGCGAGTATATAGGCGCGAGTTCCAAGTTGACGTTGACGCGCTTGTCTGCTAGCACAGGCTCATTATGTAGCTCATTAAACCAAAAAACTGGAGATTTTGAGCTTCCACTTCAAGAGATATAACTCCACAAAATAAAATTATTTTAGCAACGATAACAATTGACTATACCTAAATCGAAAATGGGAACATATGAAATATATTCGCTTGTTAAGTACTTATGACCCAGTTTTTATTCTTCAGTTTGACAACTGAACTGGCCACAATGGCACACAACACTATAGTCCTATATACTATACATACAGTGATACATGTTATACATAAATTATACACATGCACATACGCGACACATGCATAAAGAAAGCATATACATATATTTGTGTACATATATGTACATATTTATATATATATATATATGTGGACTTTTTGGGTTATCAGAAACTTTGTAAAATTGTGCGTTGTATAAGTGTTTTTTTTACTGATGTGGCAGTAGATACTAACGTATTTTGAAAAAAAAAATTTCCCGATTTGTCATTTGTGAATTTGCGATTGACTAATTTCTATCTTTACGATGTAGGCACTTTGAGAAATCTTCAAGATAACCACGCTGTGGGTATCTCGTAAAATGGTAAGATAAATAGTGCTAAAAAGAATTAAAAAAGGCTATATAAAGAGTAAAGTGAATGCTAATTTGCTAATGAATGAAGTCGGAAAAACGATAATGATAATTGTTTCAATTCGTTCCACAGTGCTTACAGCTCTCTTGCAGGCAAAGTAATAAAATTTAGTGATTTCCGTGATTCAAGCATTCTGATTCGATACCTATATCATTGAATCGGACTCGCAATAAAACTACTTATTATGATCGGCCCTTCAGAGAGCCTTCTCTCGAAACTTCGGAATCACGCCACAATGTGTAAGGATAGAAAAGCTGGTGGCGCTGAGAGTCACGAGCCTTCTCTCCCCATTTTTGAAACTCGCCACTTTGCGGAGATTAACCTAGGACAGTGGCGCTAGTGCTATGGGGCCGATCCCAATTCCCTTATAGTCGGGAGTCGAGTCGGGAAGTGAAAGTGGTGATATGTAATGATAATGATACATATAAAAATATGTGTAAGTAAACATGTGCTCTGCTCTCAGTTATTGAGTGAGTGAGGTGTGACACTTTATAGATTAATTTGTTCAAGCCACTTTTGGTTCGGTTCGGTTCTCTTAACAAAATACACCTATATATACAGAACCAGTTCTGATAATGTTTGGTTCGCTATATACAGGTATACTTTGCTAAGAGAACCGAACCAAACCAAAAGGGGCTTGAACGAACCTTTTGTATTAAATGCTGTCTGTATAGTATACCTATACATGACGTGATCGTGATATCCGTGATAATAGATACACACTTTTGCCCACTTGGTTGTGTTCGTTATGTAGTCTTAAGTCTTAGTCTCATCGCGTCATTCTACCAGTAAGTGTACAAAGTGCAATACGCGCGGACGTGAGAACTGAGTGTAAAAAGAAAAAAAAAAAAAAGGACGCATAATTTACAATAGACCTACTTATATACTAATGAAATGAAATATAGTTTTATAATGGCACAACGCGTACCGTAGAGATAAACGCACTGTTACTGACTTAAAGAGTTTTGTTTTACTTGTCAGCTGGCAAATCAAAGCCAAAAGTCAAAAGATCCCTAGAGAGAGATAAAGAGAGCTCCCTGTGTTGCTTCGGCGAGTTATCAGAAATATCAGAATATCAGATACTTCGAGTGGATTGTCTTCAAAAGCCAAATCATAAGGAAGCGATCCTCTGCACGTCAAAAAACTGCAGCAGAGCAGAGCCTTCATGCTTGTTATATTGTATCAGCTACTTACAACTCGCACAGCTGATGTCACGAGGTATAAATAAGATCTATACACGCTCTTGCTCCGTTTCTGCATCCTACTGCTGCAACATCAACGACAACTTCTGCTGATGTTATTTGATCGACCGTATAGGTACTTATGCAGTGCTTCCTTCAATCAAAGAGCAAGCAACTCTCAGATGCAGCAGCTGCCATTTGCCTGCAAGGAGGAGAGCCTCTTATATTTTTCTAAATGCAGTGACGAGCTCAATCAACGCTCGGCCAGCTTCAATGACAGTCGTACCGCAGCAGCTCAGGGAGTAAGCGCTGCCTCCTACTCCTCGCTGTTGTTGCTATTGCCTGATTCTTGTTGTTGCTCTTTTTCTTTCCTCCTTCAGCTCCATCTCTACGGGCCCTTTTACCCATGATGGAGCAATATTCTGTTGACGTTAACAAAGTTCTCAGTGAATTTGATTTTAATGAAGGTATTATTGGTACTACTAATTTTAAATAAGTGTACTTTTTTTTCAAATTAATTTTTTACCAACCTAATTCTGTTGGATATCTATTTCAGCCAGAGGAGACCAAGCTCCTTCGCTTGCTGTCTCTGGTAATGCAGCTCCATTGCAAGTTGGTGGCCTACCCTTGCAATATGGAATGTCAAATGCATTTTGTCAAGTTCCTATGCAAGGTGTGAACAGTGACGATGGAATCGCTGGAATTTTGGAGGGCATTGACATCAATTCCAAAGAAATCAATCTTCTCGAGGAACAAGAGTGCCTAGCAAGTAATATTAGTAACCCTGTATCCTCTGACCAGAATATCTTGATAGACAATTTAGATTCCATCAATCATTTTTACACACACAATAGACTGCACAACGATGAGTTGCAACAAAACCTCTGTATCGATGTTAATGAAGCTGCGTCATCATCATCTTTATTGAATGTTGTTAAGCCTAGTGTTGGAAATATTTTTAATAACTTCAACGAGTTTGTACATGACACAAACACTAATTTGGTTAACTTCGCTATTCCAAGCAAGACAAGTACAATGGAAGATTCTAGACAAAATGAAGCGCTTATTGATGTAGCTGATCCATTTGTCAACAACTTTCCAAAGGCTAGTGTTGAAGTAGTTAAAAAGTGCTCGATAGATGATTTATTGACAGTCCAAACGGAGGATCTGCTTGAAAATAAAAAAGGAAATAGTTCTGTGCCTCCAAGTTACCAAAATATCTTGCTGCCCATTAAAATAGATCCCTACTCCACAGACAAGTTCAAAGAATCCCAAGCTAATAAATTAGAACAAGACTTGGACTTTCCAGATCTGATGACAGCTGGTAACAAAATCACCAGTGCTTTTAGTAATCCAGAGCAAATGGTAAAAAGTATTCTGGATGAGCCAGAACATGTTTATGAAAATGTTTATATTGGAACAGATATTCCAAAAGCTCAAGAAGCCTGCAGTGCAGTTGATGAGGCCAGAAAAATAGGCTCTGTCTTTAAACACACCTATGAAAATGTGAATTTTCCAAATTCAGATACACAATTTAATGATAGTGGAGCTTATGAACAACTTTACATAAATAACAGTGTTGAACGAACAGAAACTAGCTCCGATTCGACTGACCACTTTAATTTGAAAGAGCCACAATTTATAAGTTTAGGTGCAAGTACAACACTCGGTTTCCAGAATATTCAATTAGGTAACTCACAAATTCCGAAACAAGATACAAAATCAGTTGTTGGTTTTACTACGATTGATGACATGTCCGAAGAAGAATTAAACAAGTATTTAGCAGATTTAGAAGCAGAAGAGAGAGCAAGTGAACAGGTTGCAGCATTGTACGAAAATGTTCAAATCGACGCTGTTGCAGAAAGTAATGTCAAGCCAAAATCGTTACCCGTCCAACGAGATGACGAAGATGCCAATGAAGCTCCTATATTTGAATCTGTCACAATAGGCAAATTACCCCAAGTTCCTCAAGAGCATCTTCAAGAAAAGGTGAAAAAATTTCCCGTAATCGATTATAGCAAAGAAAGTGGTAATGAAGAAACGTGCTCAGAATCGGCGCATAATTTACACGATGTAAGTAAGTTTAACGCACAAATTAGAGATAACGAAAATAAAATTAAAAGTAAACTAATACACGAAAAAGTAAGAAAAAGTTCAGACAACACAGAACCCACTCAAACGCTAAATCCTATTAACCAAGATGATGAAAATAAAAATGAAGATTTAGTTGAGGATTGGGACGACGGCAATTATGTGTCTACTACAAACGAAACAGAGTCTGGTCCGAACAAATTGGATGCTCAGAGCTTGGATTTAAATTTAGAGGAAAAGATAGATTTGAATAGCGCTAAAGCTCTTACTTCGAAGCTCGAAAATGTGGATAACAAAAATTTAGAAACTAAAGAACAAAATATCGCAAAGCCTTTGAATCATAAGAAATCAGCGACTCATTCTGGGACACCCGTTAGAAGTACAGAAACTATATCGAGATTTTCAGTTACTAGAAATGTAGATGTCAACGACAAAATTGGTAGCAGAAGTAGGCCTAGTCAAAAATGTTCTGGTAACAATATGACGTGCGACGAAAGCAGTGCTAGCGATCCCCATAGGCCACCTAGACCCCAAACTTTGAACGTCGTTTCTACAATCAACGTGTCTGACAATTCTACTGCAGGTACGTACAGTTTTTTATTTGTTGATTGATATTTGATATTAATCATCCATTTTTATTCCTAAGGGGCTCTGCATAATAATCAAGAAACATCCGATGCAGAGGGTGATAAGGACAGCGGAAGAGCTCCATCCCCAGATGTATCAGATAGTTCTTCAATGGAATCTGGTTCTATGCTTGGAAAGCAACCTCCTTTCTGGGTACCTGATGGTGATGCACCAAACTGTATGTTGTGTAACACAAAGTTTACCGTGTACAAAAGAAGGCATCACTGCAGGGCTTGCGGCAAGGTTGGTATAGTAATAACAATCATTGTCATTGTGTTTTTTGGATATGGAGTCAATTTGTTTTTTTATTTTTTATTTCGACGCAAATTTTGGTTTCAAGGTCTTATGCCATAAGTGTTGCAATATGAGATATAGGCTAGAATATCAAAGCAATGTAGATTCGAGAGTGTGTATTCCATGTCATCAACTCTTAACAAAAGGTTTTGAATTTTCTCTAATTAATATACTTACCATCATACGTGTTTGAAATTTTCTGGATGAACAAAACTTATCAAAAATTTTTAGCTGAAAGTGACACTGGGTCAAGTGATTACGCAGGCTGTTTAAACACCAATATTTCTACCATAAATTCACCACAGGTATTTTATTTCATCGTCATATTTGTGTACTTCATGTCCTAATAATCAAGAAAGAAAAATGTACTCACATTTTCAAATTACATTGACATATGTATTTTCTTTGTATGATCTGTACCAATGACAACTTGTTGAATACCAAAAGATCCTAAATATCAAAAATTGAGCATGAGTATTGTCACAAAAAATTTGTGCATGATTAATAACAATTAATTTGTTTGACTATTAACACAGCACACAGTAAACTGTTGAAATTATGTAAATACTAATTTGGAAGTTGATATCCAATTAAGTAAAAGTAGTTTTGTTGAAAAAAAAAAGAAAAAAAATTTGTGCATGGTGGGTGCCTCGTTAAAAGATTAGTCAAAGATCAAACACAGTAACATGAAGCATCATCAATCAAATGATGAGTGCCATTAAAGTCGCACCATTTCTGGAGTATTCGACAAATGGTTATAGGCGAGACCTAATCCGAACAATCCAATGGAGTACTGTTCAACAATACCGCCTTTGCAACAGTTGGCAGGTGGCTTGCCACCACCACCTCCCACAGTGATGGTGCCTGTAGGAGTTCTCAAACGAGAAGGTGCGACGAAGCAGCGTTCCGAGGGACCGAAATCAGTAATGTTCAGCGATGGTAAGTTTTGGTTGCCAGTCATTGTACCAAAAAATTATTTAAAAAAAAAAAGAATTTTAGACATATTTTACTATGAATTTATGAACAATCATTTAAAAGCATATTCATAAGACACGTACACACATCACTCACGCTTGCATGCACGCAATCCATTATTGTTTCGAATCTTTCTTTTGAGTTTCAATGTTTTATCCACTTTCCTATGACACACAAGATTACTGTTTTAATTTCGGCCCCTCGAAGCTTCCACTAGCGCATCAGCGGACGCTTCGAGCCCTGTGATCCATATCCCGTTTGTTTTGTTTTCACACGTTTCATATAATAAAAACACAGGAATAAGGCCTGGCTGTGACCTGACAGAGCTCGACACTACGTGGGACTGGAAGCCACCGTCGACACGCAAAGCGGTACCGAGACGTCCGGTGCAGGGCTACGTGGCGTCGGCAGCCAGTAAAAAACAAAATCGCCCTCCCCTCGATCCCGTCACCGATAGTTATATACCCCAGGATTCTGCCGCACTACCTCCGACTGTCATTATACACAAAGGACGTCAGTACCCGATATTTTTTTTTTCTCTGTTAACATCCGAAGAAAAAAAACTTCAATTCTTGAAATTTTAATTTTCCAGAGGTTACTTATCATGAAATCACTGACGTTGACGGTCTTTACAACTCCTTGAAAAACGAATGCGAGCCACCCGTCATGTTTGCAATTAATCGCAATCTGTATGCCTATGTAAAAATAATTAATCGTAAGTTGGAGGGAGGGGTTGCTTGATGAAATTGGTTTTTAAGGAAATAATAAAGATAACTAATTAGCGTAAAATTGATTGTAGTGAATTGTTGCGCGAATAGAACGTGTTGGAACGTAACTTCGAAAGGATTAGCTTGCGTCGCTCAAGACGAAGTAATTTTTTTAGTAGAAACAATGCCGGATGAAAAGGAATTTCCGAAAGATTTACTATTGCACATTAATCAAATTTATCACGAAGCCACGAAAGGTAAGATAGTCATTACCTTGAATAAAATTTATAACATACTTATTTCGCAAATTTTTGAAAAATATTGTTCCTAAAATCTTGAACACCATTTTAGGAAATACAATATCCGAATACGGTATGTCGATACATCAAAGTGGAAATCTTCTTGGTTCTCGTGAACACGCAGGCTTCCTTTTCATAAGACAAACTTTGCAATGCCTACAAAAAGTGATTGTACCCCCAGCTCCGTTTCTTGTTGGCCTTTTAGTACACAGGTATGATATTCATTTATTTTACGTATAAAATTAAGCGCAAAATAATAAAAAATATGAATCTAAATTCATAGATGGGAAACTCCTTGGGCAAAAGTTTTTCCACTTCGGCTGGTCTTGCGTTTAGGTGCTGAGTATCGTTACTATCCTTGTCCGCTTATCTCTGTTCGATTTAGAGATGCCGTGTATTTTGAAATCGGCCACACCATAATGAAAGTGTTGGCTGATTTTCGTAATTATGCCTACACGTTACCTAAAGTTCAAGGCTTGACTATACATATGCAAGACAGAACTACTCAAGTTAGATTCCCGAAGAATCGATTTAATCAGGTTATCAAAGGTCTAAACAACTCGAACGATCACGTTTTAGCTTTTGCATCGAATTTTAGCATTGAGGCCGATTCACATTTAGTTTGCATGCAAACAAACTTGGAAGATGAGAGCACTTATCAAACTCAGGCGATAAATATACAAAATAAACCTAGAAAAGGTAGATGGTTTAACATTTTTAAAATTTTGTTATGAATCTTTGAATCGTCTGTACAAAACATAACAAATTGACATTTCAGTGACTGGTGCAAGTTTCATTGTAATTAATGGTGCTTTAAAATCTTCTATGGGCCTTTCTGCAAACTCAAATATATTAGAAGATGGCTTGATGGTTCAGATAATGCCAGAAAAAATGGAAGCTTTGAAAGCTGCGCTTAAAAATATGCAAGATTTTACCATTGGCTGTGGTCGTCAGGGTGCTCCTGAACCTGATGAGATTGTTAATATTACATGGGTCGAAAATGATATGCAGTTCAACTTGGGGTTAGTGCTTTGATGAAATAACCATTTTCTCTCTTTTTTTCTTTCGTAGTAAAATAAGTCTTTGATTTATTTTAGAGTTAAAAGTCCCATTGACAGCAAACCCATGGATGGAATTCCATCTATTAGAGTACATAATGGAATTAACTTTGCGGGCACAAGTAGGTTCATACGCTGGACTGAAGTGTTTATAATAAAGGTAATGTGATCCCTTGTCACAAAATTTGTTTTATATACTTTTCTTACTAATAAATATCTCGTGCGTTAGTCTGATGATGATCAACCATTTGGCATGCATTATCCAGTGGATATAAATAAATTATCAGAAAGCATAGCTCGAGCTACTTGTGCAGCTCTTGTTAAGTTGCTAGATTTATTGGCAGCTGCTGGGCTTACGAAAATCGCTGTGCGAACCACAATTCATCCTGATAACGTAAGTTATTTGTATAACATCTTGATGCAACGGAGTAATGAAAAATTGTTTGATTTTCTCCCACGTTTGGTTTTCTGTATTAAATCCAGGTTGGATATGAAGCAGGAAGTGAAGGCACGCGCTTACCACCTATTTATATGAAAAGCTTAGATAACGAACTTATACAGGTCTTACAGAAAGCTGTACAAGGCTGTGAGGATACGCATACTGTACTGGAACTAGTATTTTATGTACTAGAGACTGATGTTTAACACGCTGAAGCTCTTTTTTTTCTTAATAGCTTCTTGTTCGAGAAGTGCTGAATCTAAATTTTTAAGATAATTTTTTAATATACAATTAATCGTTAATCAAAATCGCCCAATTTTATACTAAAACTCTAACGTTCTTATTTTTTCTACGATGATGAACCAAAACACAGCAAACAGTTAATGTTAATGTTTATGCATTGATAATTAAATTTCATGTTTTTCGACATTATTTCTTAAATTTAAATTAGTGCTATATGGTGCAAAAAATGTAGAACAATGCAATCATTTTGATGTGACTAATTGAACTTTATACACGTGGAGGTAAGTGTCGCAATATATGTGTAAATTAATTTGGTACGGTACTATTTTTATTTTCATCACAAAACAATTAATTAAGGTGTAGTTGGTTCATTGATAATCATTTATGGTAACTCTATACACAAATTTCCAGATTTTAATTGCCAAAGATGAGCAGAAAATTTTTCTTGTGTTTCAAATGATTTGTTTAAAAAAATTGTTAAATTTAAAAATTATAACTATTTGGAACTATTATTAAAAAATCTGCTTAGTGTATATTTTGTCAAACTTAGCATGAAAAACATCAATTCAAGATTTTTTTAAAGCATTGCAAAAATTTATTACTGTATAAATTTTGGTCATTGATACAACTTTATTCACTGCTTTATAAATCAGAAGATTTTTAAAAACGATTGCAGCATTATAAAAACCAATAACTCGATAAATATTTTTTTTTGTTTGACTGAGGTTCAAGATTAATTTTGTGTAATTGCTTAGCGACATCACATAACATTTTTACTAAAGTGAAGTCAGCCTAATTATTAACATTGTTATTGATGATTGTTGGAATGAAAAATGTTTTATATTGTTACTTAATGCTTAAAAGCTTATATATTACAAATATATCATGTTACTCTTGCAAAATAGTTTTCTTTCTTGTAAATTCTCTTATTAAATGTCTAACGACTTGAGTTTAACTCACGTGAGGTAGTTCGTATTATATCGAATTTATATATACATACATATTTCTATATATATACACATCTACGTCGAAAAATTGTATCTGATTATTTGTTTTATTTACATTTATTTCAAAGCGTAATAACAGCAAACAAATGTTTTTATTTGTGCTTAAAAATATTGATTTTTGGAACTGAATACTTTTGCACTTGAATGGCAATTTTGTGCCCATATTCCACACGATTCAAAATCACAGTTTAAAATAAATAATGTAAATAAACAGTAAATAAATTGTAAATATATACAAATCACACGATATACTATTGTTTGAATTACTCTAAAATAAGTTTTTTATGTACAAATATAAAATTTCAATGTATAGTCGAGTTAATTTACAATTGCATAATGAACATGTAGACTACGAGCGGAAAGTAAATAAATTGTATATATGTTTAAGAATAAATTGTTGAATTTTATATCATTAGTTCTAACTAAGGTTTTCACACATTTTAAGAGAATAACTACGTACATAATGTACCAGGTTTTATAGTGGTGATAAAACAAATACTAAAGATCATTTCTGAACTAAACTGAGATAATGTATCAACATTCTTCACCAAGGTATGGATACCTAAGTAACTTACTGCGATACGCTTTCGCCTTTCGAGTCACTGCCGAATCTCAACATGCAGATTTAAAATTTCAATTTCCCGTCATGTTGACAATGAAAAATGTTTTGTTCATCTATTAATACTTAGCAAGTTGTACTAAAATAAAGTTGCAATATTTACAAAATGAAAATAAACTCTGTGCAAATCATGAATAAAAAACGAATATGAAATCTACTGCTTAACTTAAAATATAATTCTAAAAAAGCTTTTTAAAAGCTTGATGGAAAAAAAATTCCAACACCATTTTTTAAAAAGTCCAAATTAATATTTTTATTGAAAATCTATTTTAGTAACACATGTTCGCACAGGGTTGTTCGTTCTGTAAGTCAGATTCGCCAATTGCAATTTGTGTGTGAATATATAACAATACAATAATATATTATATATGAGAATGAAATCAATGATCTAGTTCTAGTTGCAATTATTGAATTGGCTTTTTACGTATTAAACTCCGTTTAAGGGATATACTTATGAGTCAATTTTTACAAATACCTAGTATTTCGGAGTTAGTTTACAAATGAAAAAAATTAAAAAATGTAAGTTACTTGGATCAGCTTCATGTAGTGATATTTTTCTTCTTAACTTTTTTCAAAAAGTCGGCCCCAATTCCCAAAATCCTAAGCCAAATTTTTTGCCTATACCATACTTACCATGCAGACAGTCGATGAGGGTGCTTCAAACTGTCGGTGGGTTCTGCATGTCAACAAACTTCGATATTTTTTGCTGTTTTCTCTCCCATCCTCCCATGTCACCCAAAATTTCGCAGTTTGTTGACATGCGGCGTTACAATGACCTATACGTAACTTAACTGCTGGCAGCATATGCGGAATACAATACAATACCTACAGCCTCTGATTTTATCATTCTGGTAAAGAGAGCACGGTGTACGGTGTAAGATATGTACCGTAAGTTATGTGTAGTAATTATAGTATCACTACTAAGTCGTGCCACATATGGTCGATTTTATTAAACCATATAAGTAGAATATCTATACTTTTGGAGGTCGATTTTCAGGTAAAAGATAAGTTGTAAACTTGCCGCAAATAGCACAAGCAGTGTTAAATTATTATTTTGTATCTATAATATTAGTTGCGGCTGGTTTATTAATTAATAAAGTGACTTTACTGTAAATAGCAATAATTATTTGGATCAGCGCCATCTAGCGGTCTCTATTTTTTGGCCAAAAGTGGCTCCTAAAATTCTCAATCAGAGCAGTTAGGATTAGAGCTATTTAGTCAATTATAAACCAGCCGCAACTCATGATGAAGTTATGAAATCAAAAAATAAGAATACATGTGTTTTTGGCGGCAAGTTAACAATCTATCTTATGCTCGAAAATTTATCTTTAAAGGTATAAATACATTGGAAGTCAATTTTTTGGTAGAAAATAGATTGTTAACTTGCCGCCAAAAACACATGTATTCTTATTTTTTGATTTCATAACTTCATCATAAGTTGCGGCTGGTTTATAATTGACTAAATAGCTCTAAACCTAATTGCTCTGAATGAGAATTTTAGGAGCCACTTTTGGCCAAAAAATAAAGACCGCTAGATGGCGCTGATCCAAATAATTATTGCTATTTACAGTAAAGTCACTTTATCAATTAATAAACCAGCCGCAACTAATGTTATAGATACAAAATAATAAGTTAACACTGTTTGTGCTATTTGCGGCAAGTTTACAACTTATCCTTTACCTAAAAATTGACCTCCAAAAGTATAGATATTCTGCTTATATGGTTTAATAAAATCGACCATATGTGGCACGACTTATAACTTAATGTACATCTTACATCTTAGCGTCAACTTGTACTAATTATAATTATTAATTATATTATTATATATGGTTTGGGCGTTTGGGGCCGACTTTTTGAAAAAAAAGTTGAGAAGAAAAATAACGCTACGTGGCGCTGATCCCCATAATTTACATAAAATTAAACGATCAAACAGATCAAACTCCAAAATATCAGTGAAAATTGAGTAAGATCAAAGAAATATCGTAGTCGTGTTCAATTGTGAGTAACCCGGTCAGTTTATTCTTACAATATTTGTTTATTAAAACAATATGCAAATCCTAAAAGTGAGTGTGCTGGTGGTAAATAATTTACGCAAAACGTTTTATTGTGGTTCGAGACTAATGTCAAGCTCAGAATGTGCCAAATCGTTGTTGTACAAAGAGTATGGAGAACCAGCAGATGTTTTACAAATTACTACAGAGAGTCTTACAGCTCCACAAGAAAATGAAGTAACGAAACAAACTTACCATTACTCTTTTCAAGCTTATGATGATATTTATTTAAATATAGTTAACTCGTTGATTTTTTGACAGGTTGTTGTAAAATGGCTTTATGCACCTGTGAACCCAGCTGATATCAACACTATACAGGGAAAATATCCAAGCAAGCCACCTTTACCTGCTGTACCTGGTAACGAAGGTGTGGGTGAAATTGTTGCTGTTGGAACGAATACAAACAATTTTTGTGTTGGGGATAAAGTGGTTCCCAATGGAGTCAATAAAGGAACGTGGAGAACTCATGCTCTATACAAATCTCAAGATATGTACAAGGTAAGTTATTTTATTTCACAACTATTCAAGTACACTGTTTGATTTTGTATTATTTTCATAGATAAACAACAATCTTGAGACCATAACAGCCAGTATGCTTAATGTCAATCCCTGCACAGCTTACAGAATGTTGAAGGACTTTGTACCTTTAAAGCCAGGTGATACTGTTATTCAGAATGGTGGTAATTCTGCAGTTGGACTTTTTGTTATCCAACTGTGTAGGATATGGGGTTTAAAGAGTGTAAATATTATTAGAAATAGACCAGACGTCCAAGAGTTGAAGGTAAATACTGGTAATTATTAGAATTTGGCTGTGTTATTTTTTGCCAACTCTAAAACGTTTTCTGTTTTAGAACCAACTGTTAGATTTGGGCGCTAATGTTGTCATGACTGAAGAAGAGTTGAGAACGACCACCTTGTTCAAGAGCAAAACATTACCAAAGCCCCAACTAGCCTTGAACTGTGTATGTGGCAAAAATGCTTCAGAGGTTCAAAGACATTTAGATCACGGTGGTATCATGGTGACTTACGGAGCAATGTCCAGAGAGCCTTTGACTGTGCCAGCTTCCTCTTTGATCTTCAAAGTATAAACCAAGAACTTTTTACTTCACGTTGCAAGTATTTCTTGATAAAAACATTTTATTTTGATGCAGAACCTTAGCTTCAAAGGCTTCTGGATGACCACATGGACCAATAAAAATGCCAACTCTGAGGAACGGCATAAAATGCTTGAAGAGCTTCAGCAACTATTCATAAATAAAGAACTGAAAGCTCCACCGCATCAACTAGTTTCTTTTTGTAATTACAAGGAGGCAGTTGTAAATGCTCTTAAACCCGGTGGACAAAGCAATGCAAAATACATTTTAGACTTGACAGGTTAATGTGTAAAAATTATTATTATTATTATTTTTTATACAAAATAGTGTATACATTTTATTAAGGAATATAAAGTCTGAACAACTATTTTAGTAAATAACAACGTTATAATTTTCTTAAAGCTAAGAACCAACCATAAATTACTATAAACTTTGAAAAATTGAATAAATTTTATGAAACGTTAAACAAGTGGGTGACGATTCAATAGGTAATACATTTGCAAGCAAAATCACACAGCATCCAACATGTTCATAATATCCATTTCCTGAGGTCTGGGCGACTGCTCTACGTCCGCGAAGTCGGTATCGATACTCGTGATCAGATTCGTCCTGTAAGCTTCGATGTCCCGAGTCGCCTTGCTCACCAAGTTCCCATCCTCATCCTTGTTGGACGAATGAACGGCCGATTCGTCGGGAGTGCAGCAATCCATTGCAGCTCTGTCATCGTGTCCAAACAATTTCAAGCTGAAGGGTCGCATGGGAGGCGTGTCCTCCTTGCCGAGCTGCTTGGCTAGTGTTTCGATCTCTTGCCTCATCGATTTGTTGCTCACCTCCACAATCGGATGATGGTGATCATGGTGCAAGCTGCGGGTCAGCCTAATGTTGGGCACGAGACCGAAAGTTGGTAAGTAGCTGATGAGAAAAAAAAAACACCGTACGTGACGATTAAAATTTGAAAAAAAAAACACTTCAGCGTGAAAGCCATATGGCTCACAATCAGAGTTGACTTTTGACTCAATAATTATGAGAACTTACATGTTCCTCCCCAACAGAGTAACGCGATTGCCGCAAAAGGACAGCGAGCCCATGACGTTCTCGTCTTCGGAGTAGTCGAGCAGCTTGAAATTCTCCAGCACCTCGCGGCGCTCCTGGTACTTTTCGTTGTACCTCTGGATGAGCCGATTGAAGCTCGTGTCCTCGTTTTGCATGCCAAGCTTCAAAAGCATCGAAACGCGAACGCAGTGGCTCTGGATCTCCGTCAGGCAATCGTCCCTTATACTCCAGATCTCCTTGTAGGTCATACCACCGTAAGTCTGAAATTAATTACATTTTTGTAATGTATATTACGTCTGATCGAAACAGCTTCGAAATACGATTGCCAACTGACCTCGACGATGTACCGATGGGCATTGTCAACGTAACCGCGCAGCTTCTTGTCCATGACCATGTCGCGTATGGCGTCGAGGTGGTTCAGAGTCGAGAGTATGACTTCACGAGGCCCCGTGGCCGTGGCCAACTGGTACTTCACCATCATGATCATGAGGTCGAACAATTTGTTGCTGCTGTTGTCGTCGAGCTTCATTATCGAGCAGAGAGCGACGCGTTCGAGGCTCGTTCGCAGCCACGCCAGCCTCATCAGAGGCCCTCGATCGAACACTACCTCCAATTGCTTTGGATTCAGCAGGGCGCCCGTCACGTCGTTTATCACTGCGATTATTGTTAACATTTTTTTTTTTTAACTTTACTTTGAGAATTATGTCGAAACTTTAGTTTTCCACATACGTTATGCCGATTCTATTTGTTTGATTGTTGGTAAAAACAAATGTAATATAAGCGCAAAAAAGTAGATGATCGTGAACACGCCACAAGAGCATGGGCTATTTGGCTGTGATGCATTAGCATTCACGTGAAGGACATAATAAAATATAATGTGAGCGTCCGGGGTCGCAATAAAACGTTTGCCCGTTTCCGTTTCGGCATTATTTGGGTCGTAAAATACATAAATAGAACGCGGTGTATCATAAAAACAAAATCATCTCGAGATCGAAACTTTTCTTGGTAGTAATAAACAATATACTAGCCTTGAGTCGTTTTTTCGGGACTGATCTTCTGCGCTTGCAATCTCTGCTGCAGCACGTACAGCATCTCTCCTCCCATGTTCAGGTATAGAATAGGCGTGGCGCAATAAATCATATCGTTTTATTTGGGAAATTCTCGTTTTTCCTACTCCAGTATACAAACAGTATATGGTTTCAACACTTGTCGAGGCACTTGTTTTCCACGGAAGAATGTAAAGCTTTCTCGATTGTTGCCGGATTCGTTTCCATAACGACCGCACCACTTGGCTTCTTCGTTAACTGCGCAAGTGTATCATTTTTCTTCTCTTTATTGACAGTATCGACGGGATTGTAGGTACGTCAATTGCAAAATTAACACGTATAAATAGAAGAAAAAAAAAAATGAATAAACGTGCAGGTTTCATTGTGTAAAATTTTTTTAATAATTTTTTTTACAAAGAATCGTGCCTTACATCTCGAGGAAAATCAATGTATATTTGATTTTAAGGAGGATGTACAAAATTTACTACGCGCAAAGCATTTTTTAGAAAAAATCAACAACAGAGATAACCCACGCACATTTCACTGGCTTCGTGACGAACACAGTATAACATAATACAAATATTAAAAAAAAATTGTTTGCTCATGATAAAACCATTCAATGACACACGCTTTTTCCCCATTCACGCACACACACCCACAATCAATTAATCAGACAATGGAATAAATTATTAAACGACGGCGAGAAGTAAAAAGGCCAAAGTGAAACAACTGAGCTTCGCGAAAAACGATAGCCGGTGAAAACCTGTGATGTCTGACGCTGACGACGAGCAGTTCTGCTGAGGTGTTTGTGCATCCGATGCTGACGTCAGCACGAATTTGATTCTGCCCTCGACTCCGGGGTACACTGGACTCGTGTGATTCACGTAATCCGAGAGTATTTCCGCTGTTGTTACGTCTGAAAAAAATACAAATTTTTTTTCCCCCTATTGTTCTCTATATAGATTTAATATAAAAAAAAATCGGCATGCCGATTGTGATTAATAGCGTCACAGATTATACTTCAAAACTATTGATGATGATGATAAAGATCGATAAAAAATGAGGTATTTAATCGATATACCGATTTTTAAAACACGTTGTTTGCCAAGAGCCAATTTACACAATGTTACTTTCATGAAATTATCGTTGAAAGGAAAAAAAAAATCGTTGTTTGCATCCAGATTTGGGCACAGTTTCAAACACTTTGAAAGAAAAAATTTTTTTCCTCAATACAGGGCATTCTTTTTCCTACAAAAAATTTTACACTTAAACACTGAGTAACATTATATTTTAAAACTTTTAAAAGTTGTAGAAAAATTGTTTTTGCTGAAAAAAAAAAAAATAATAATAATTTTAAGTACAGCGTTGTAAGCTGTATTTAGAAAAATTCTTTTCAGCAAAAAAATTGTATCGCAAAAAAACTGAAAATCTATCAGAGCCCAAGTCTGTTTGCATTCACGCGAGAATCGTAAAAAAAAAAAAAAAAAAAAAAAAAAATCAATCGTGTGTAAATCCATCACTTACTTAAATTTTTGTAAGTCGTGTTGCGAAGCATTTGAAATCCATCGCCACCGTTGTGCAAAAAATCGGGCATAAGTACGGTGTAAGTGGCGTTCTTTTTGAGGTCCAGATAAGTCGGCACCGTGCACTTGGCACACCGTACCTTCGCCGACACGACTCGCGATCCTTGTGGCTTCGATATGTCGTAGGTGACCTAAAACCAGATGAATCTTTATTGCACTTGCGTCATTTGATCGACACTTTGACGTTCTAAATATACACACATAGAATTATAAATGAGCTTTTTATTGCTATTTTTTTTTTTTTTTTTTCAACTCGATGCTAATTGACGGAAAAGTAATTGTGATACTTTAAAGGTATTAACTTGCAATGCAATTATCAGGACGATCAGGTGTGGTGATTTTTTACTTTCACTGGGAGTTTAATTGAGTGGCTATTTTTTGACTACTTAACGTAGCATTTATTATCTGAATCAACTGCCTCGTACAGAGTTGACTCAAATTGTTAACCAGTTAAATTAAATGTTGGTTGCAGTTTCAAGATATGAAAATAAACTCAAGTTTTATACCATCAGAGAATATGCAAGCGAAATTGAATAAAAAAATGGTATACAATGTTAAACGTATTATTACACAGTAAAAATAAACGGGTGTTTTTAAAGAAAAGTTCAATTTCCGAATTGAACGCAAATTAGAAGTTTTTAGTTAACGACTAGATAAAACGAAACCAATTTTTTTCAAGTACAATCAATGACTAACTTAAAATAATTGAAAATTCTGAAATTCCACATCAATTATAGATTAGCTTATATCTATGCAGGTATATATTTGTAATTTTGACCTTACGTAAGTCAGTTCATTCATGACAAATCGTGCTCCGGAAAATAATGATTCTTTTTTTATTAAGTCGTTGACTAAATACTTCTAATTTGCCTTCAATTCAAATATAACTTTGTAACAAAGGACAGTCACCAAGTCAACATTTTGTAGATGAATTAATTATTAATTTTATTAACAAATCACATCAGAATTTCGTTTGATAGCTTAAATTGTACATGCCATTCGGGGCACTTACTATAATATATATTCATCATAATTTTTACAGTGGCATACACTCGTTCAACACTAACGGAATCTATTAAGTAGTTGTATATTTTTCGCAGTATAATCGCAGATACGATGCATCACGGTAGTCAAGCAATCATCGTATGCTTTTTGTAGTTATGCATGGTAGTATTTGCTAATTATTTTTCAAAATGTCGTCGACATTGTTGGCGATTAAGCGGATAAGAATCGCATTAGAGAGAGCATATTGCAAAGATAAGAGAAGTAAAGCGCGTAAAGGTGTACTTATATACTCATTGTGTGCATCGCGAATTTTATTTACTGCTCGGGACGTGCATGTCACGCTCGTGACGACGCACGTGCATTACGTTTACATTATACGTAAGTACAACACTCGCCTTATACTTTTTTTTCCCCCGATGTCTGTCGTTGCGAGGAAAATAATATGTACAATTCTTTGTACGTGTATTTATGCACATCGATTTGTTTCCTCGTAAATGGCACGCTAATTGTTTGATGAAACTTTTTTGGAAAATAAATCGGGTTGCTTGTTTTTTTTGAAAATGAAATAAAAAAAAAAAAAAATTCAACAGGAAATAATAATATCATCTTTCGTCCGAGTAAATGACAAGCGAAGACAATTTGATGTTATTAATTTAAAATAAGCGATGGACAGGTTTGTGATAAGGACTGTACGGTTTTTTATCTTTATCATGTCAGACCGAAAACTTTAATGATAATAGCAAATTATATTATCCGCACGAAGCCTTGAAATCGCACTGAAGAAAAAGAAATCTTCAAAAAAATTGCGAAAGAAAAGTATTAAAAATTGAAATGAAATTCAATTATTATTGCAAACAATCTATTTGATAAGGGTGAAATGATATATACCTGCGTTTGAAACTATTTTCGTAGAAACGCATCAAGATTTTTTTATTCGCTTGGTAATACTCTCGTGGGCCAATATTATACTTTCAATCAACTAGAAACTAATTGTAACTATAATAAGTAAAATTGTCACCATCACGCACCTGAATTCCGGAATACTGAAGGAAGCATCCCCCATGGCCGGTCTCGTTCTGGCTGATCCTGTCGTGGACGCTCCACTCCAGCGCCTCCATGAGCGTCTCCGCCTTCACGTACACCTTGAGAACCCGCGAACCGTAAGGCAACGCGGTGACCACGTCGTCCTTCGACACCTTGTTCTCGTTCGTCGCCACTATGGACGTCCTTATACCCCCAGCCTGATAGATGGCTATCGGCGCGTCCGTCCAGCCAATCTCCCCGTCGTACAACTTGGTGTTCTAATTTTTTTTTTTTTTTTTTTTTTTTCAATACAATTTACGCAATATGGTTACAAGTAACAAAAAACTGATACTGGTCCACAGGTCGTCTCTACACCTCTGAACCAAATTAAAAAAAAAAGAGTAAGAAAGAAATGGCCAATTTACCCAGTAAATCATAGCGTCGGTCACTAGGTTGCCAAAGTTGCACTCATAGAGCCGGCAGCTCTTCTCGTTCCCGTTGATCAGCACCTTGGTCTTGCCCACCTCCTCGGTCGTCCAATTTTTCACGGCCTCGGCCCACCTGGACACCTCCTCCTCGACGTCCTTGGCTTTGGGAATGCTAGCGTTCACCAGTACGGGCTGGCCCTCGATCCTCGTTATCTCGCCATCCGCGTCAAAGTCCATCTCCAGATTCCCGAGGTACTTGGTGTACGCGAACGCCTGCGCGACGTACACCTTCCGTCCACTCGGCTGTGTCACGACGTAGGGGTAGGGTCCCTCGGGTACCTCGATGTCCGGCTGGGGCCCGTTGTAGAGGAAAGTGTTGGTGTGGCCGCCGATCACGAGGTCCACGTCCTCGACTTCGCGGCCGATTCGCTTGTCGGCCTCGAAGCCCGAGTGGCCCAAGGCTATTATTATACGGCATCCCTGAGCTTTGAGACGTTGGGCCTCTTCGCGGATGGCCGGCACCTCGTCGAGGAATTTGACGTTACGCGGCTGCGACAGCGTCATGGTGTCCGGGGTCAGGTAGCCGATCACGCCGATTTGGCGGCCCCTAGCCGTCAGGACGAACGATTTCATTAGCTGCTTGGCCGCTCTCAGGTCTGGCTCGCCGGAAAAGTCCAGGTTGGCAGCGACGATGGGAAAGCTCGCATTTTGCAAAAATGGCACCAGACCGTCCGGGCCCTGGTCGAACTCGTGGTTGCCCAAACTCTGCGGTCGATCGGATTTTTTTTGATTATATAGGTGCCTTTTTTGATGCGTGGACGAATTTAACTTCCGTAAGGAATTGCGACGTGCAACCCGAGGATCGTTGAGCAACTCGCGTGAGCCGCGCTTACGTAATGTGCATGTGTTATACTGCGAGCGACGCGCTTTTTTAATCCGAATATAAAAGTGAAACTTTACTCCCGATTGTAGATTTTACTCCAAAAAGTTGCCGATTTTTCACTCATTCCGCGGTTGTTTCGCTTTTATTTTCCTCTCGCTGTGCTATAGGCTGTCTCTCGATAAAAGACATTCAAAGAACTTCGGTAATGAGAAACGGAAGGAAAAAGAAAAAACGAGCACAAAGCGCTGGGTCGAAAAAGAATCCGAGCCTTTATCTATTTTAAGCCTGCACCTTTCGTATTTTTCAGGGACGCGCGTCTGTCAAAAATAACACGGTCCTAAGCTCCCGTGCACCGAAAGATTCACGTCTCGGCGACAGCGTTTCACGCTTTATACCTGTAGAGGAAAAGATGTACAAAAAATGAAAAATGAAAGATACCCACCGCTACGTCCGGCTTGAGGATGTTGAGGAACCTCGCGACGATCTTCCACTTGTACAGGGTGAAGAGCCTGGAGCCGAGGTAAGTGTCCCCGGCGTTCAAGAAGAAGGTGGGAAGGTATTTGGGCGCTTCGTCTCTCATTTGTCGGATCAGAGTGGCCATTCTGGCGAAGCCACCGTAACAGCTCAGGTGCTTCTTTTCGGCCTCGCTGCAGATCGTGTTGCGCTTTGAAATCTCCTCGAATCTGATAAATACACGCAATTGAGCCATATGTTTCGGATTTTGTCGCGGGTGGGTGCCCTTTCGCGAGGCAGAAACGACAAAAATTTTCAATTACGAGCAAAAGCTTTCAAACGTGTGTGTGTGTGTGAATCCAATTACGTTAATGCACCACAGCAATGTTAATTAATCGATCGATCGATAGAAAAATCAATATGACATCTATCCTCTATTTAACAAATTTTGCGAAATCAAACATATTTTAATGGCACCAATTGATGTGAAAAAGTGGAAGTACGTTTACATACAAGTGTGTTACATATACGTATAATGTGAGCACTGATTTTATTATTTTTTTAAATGTTAATTGGCACTAATGTAAGGTAATTTATAAAAATATGACGATTTTGACTTGATTGTTTTAAAAATGTCACCCATCAAAGCATCCTATCTGAAATGTACGTACTAATTAAAAGTTGAATATCATTCGTACAATGCAACCACTGCAACGAATTTGCAGTATACTAAAAACTGTCACCCTACTTTGGGTATCAACTTTTTTTTGCGATAATGACTTTTTTCGCACAAACTGTCTCAAAATCAGGTGATGTGTTTCTTTTATGATGTCAATAAATGTTAAAACCGTTGTGTTATCAAAAGTACATGAAAATCATTGTTTGCGCTTCATTATCTCGCAAGTGGAGCACTTGTATGCAAATTAAAATAAGAAAAAAAAGCTATAAATAAATAAATAAATAAAGAAATTGCAGTAGACTTCGTAATAAGTTGTTTCCTGGTGCGTCTGAAGAATAATATGCACTTGTAAGCTCAACTATAACGATAAAAACGAAGCGAACTAATAATTTAAGTAAACACGTGAGTCCTTGGGCGATTCATTTTGCGGTAAACTCTGTCATTTTTATTGGCAATGAAAATATTTTGATGCAACCTCGGAAAAAATAACAAGTAAACACTGAAAAATCAAATTTTCCCAAAATAACAAGAAGTACGATAGCGATTTAAAGATGTTCTCTATTACATGCTCACTATATCAATGACATAAAATTTAGGTGAATAATATACAAGTAGGACTACCACACAAACAAAAAACTTACCTGTGCTATTTTAATGAGATTAGCATTTGAAAAGTCATGTTAATTAGCGAACTATGTTATTAGATATTAATAAAGACGAATGATGAAATACTCATAAATAAAAGAGCATAATCTGTTATTTGCAAAAAAAATCGTTAAATGATTTTGCATTCAATAAGTTTATCTAATAAATTGATAGATTCTGAGCGCATACAATTTAATAGTGACAAAATCAGGATTTTTGAATATTTTTATTTATTTAGAGGTTAACACTTTTTATATATAAATAGTAAAATCTTTGAATTTTAAATTAATGCCCGAGAAACAAATCGATTAAAGGAGGATTATCAGTTGTGTTTTTTTTAAATATTTTATGTAAAACGTTTCCGCAATAATTATCAGTGCGATAGGAAGTTAAACACAACTTCATCGATAGGACCCTCAATTGTCCACAGGGTAAGAGCCTCATTAAGCTAGCCAATGGAGTTTTTTAGATCATAACAAAGGAGTTTCACGAAAACGTATTATGGTTTCGTCAGCTCGTATCGCTCTCTAGAGTTTTAAATAAATAATTTTCACGATAAAGCGATAAGACATACGTAAATTATCTGTCGTAACTGCATGTATTAGCACTAGGTAAGTACAATCCACGTAGCACGTGAAAACAACGCCGATCGCAACTTTTTGGCATGGCGGGATCGGATGATCAAAGAAATCGTTCGACTCGTTAAAAAACGAAAAAAGGCCCCAAAAGGGATGCCATCGCACGAGACACGCAACCCCTTTAAATAACCCGTACAGTCTTGTATTTTTATTTGCCGATTTGCGCGCACGAAAAATCTATACAAGTGGACACGCGTACGTTACCGATCTCGCTCTTCGAGCAGCGAAACGAAATTTCGAGTGCTTACCTCGCGTGCATGTCATTCGTGTGGATGATTCGCACAGTCAGCTTGTCATCCGCTGGCGCTGCCTCGGACACCCAAATCGCGATCGTCGCCAGCACCAACCAAACTTGGCCCCTTCGAGACTTTGCACCCATTTTTTGTTCTTGCTGCCAAAATTTACCACAGGCGATGAGAATCAATTTATAAAAAATACAGGCAAAACATGCACGTGTACGCGAATTTCCGAATTATAAAATAAAATATTGTTTCCGAAGCCCGTCCGTCGAAGACGGGTCACCGAGGCGCGCCGAGACAGACTGATATATTTTTCGGAGGAGTTAGCGCACCGCCTGTGTATCCATTAGGTATATAGTGGACCCGTGCGCCACGCGCTCCAAGGCTCACTGCACTGCACTTTAAAGTTCGGAGAGCTCTCGGTTGTCGTATACATAAATATATATCTACCTATACACGCTCTAAAGTGTGTAATGTACACACGAGAGCACTCGCGCGCGGGCGCTGCTTTTCGAAATGATTAGACGTTCGAACATGTCACCCATCCCTCTCTCGCGAGCTGTATCTTTTTTTTTTTCCACTCGCGAGTATAATGTACAGATGTAACGAGGAGTGTTTTTTTTTCTCTCATCCTTTTTCCACGCTGTATAAAATCGACGTGATTTTTTTACCCGCAGTTTGGTTTTCGGCCGGTTCGGAATTTTTGACGCGCGTGCGAATAATTACGCGTATTTCAATTGTTCGAGACGAAGCCACCTGCTTCGGTAACTCAAAACTACCTTTTTTTTGGTACGATTTTTTTTTTTTTTTTTTTTTTTTTTTTTTTTTTTTTTTTTTTTTTTNTTTTTTTTCATGATGACATTAAAAAAACAGAGTTAACTAAATATTTATTGACTTGTTATACAACACGATGTATTATTAACATTTATTACCTTGTGAAAAATACGGTAAGGTTGAGAAATTGTGTTTTTTCTCGTCAACCCAAGGATAATATTGGTGTCAGTGAGACGCGATTGTACTTAAAAAAATATATATTCATGACTTTTGCTTGATTGCTCATAAATAGATCTAGTACTTCGTTATTTTTACAATTTACACCAGTATTAGATAAAATAATTTAATTAATAATAATAAAAAAAAAAAATGGGAACGATCACGCGCAACGGTAGTGTACTAGAACTGACGTAAAGTGATGGAAAACAAAAACGATGTTATTAATGCATGATTCGTAATCACGGTTTTTTTGTTTACGACATTTTTAGACGTATATAAAATTCTCTATTAGCTAGTGGCGATATTTCGTAAACTGTACGGTGACCTCACTTGGGTGGAAAATACACCACTTTTTGCGACGTAAATTATTTTGATTGATTTCCTGATCTTGTCTGCCGGATAGCCGAAAATCAAGCTTGTAATCCAGTGGTACCAGATTTAACTCGACACATTCGCGCAAGCCACTCGAGTGAATGAGCTTCGTATAATGAAATTCGTAAATAGATTGTTATGATTGTTGAAACGCGAAACTAACGTATACAAAACTGTTTTTCATTGGATTGATTTTTAATACATATCCAGCTTATTTCAAAATATTAATTGATTCGTTTGATTTTTATAAATTTCTTTATTTTTCTGTGATTGCGAGCACGCCGTGCATATATACATCATAATCAAACAAACTAATTGTTTATATTAATTTTTTTTTTTTTTTTTTATCTACATTAAGTAAACAATACAGGATGAGTATATGTCTTTTGCAAGAAAAGTTAAAATTTAAAATTGAACACAATCAAGAAGAGCTAACGGCTTAATATTATAAAAACAGAATTATTTTATTCTGAGTACGATTCATCATAGACGACTAATTTACGAAAGGTCAAAATTCAGTCTGCACACGTGCAAATATCTAAAAACTGTAGGCATACAACTGAATTGGCCTTAAAGTTGTTTTTGCGCGTATTATAGCGTTAAATGAGTAAAACTGTAAATGCAACCAAGTTTTTTTTTCTTACCGCTCGATCGATTTATGCAGCTATAGAAAAAATCTGGTAACAGCTTCAAAGTAGGAAGAAATAAATTTTTCTCAATACTAAACGTTCGTATCAGCAGCGAACGTAAAAAGTGCATTGCTACATAATACTTTAGAGTTAGAAAATTAATACGACAAATGTACATAAGAGGTACCTGTGACTTTGTAAACCATCATATAATTTTAATTATAATCCTGTAATTATTATGCACCGTATACGATTGTTAGCAACATTATGTTATAAAATCAATAAATCAAAAAGATAAAATCCGTGTGTATGGCAAAATTGGATGATTGTTGTAGACGAAGGATAATTTTTCATTTTATCGCGCTTTGAGGTCACTTCAACATCGTAAAACACGCAATATGAGAAAAATGTGACATTTCCTATTCTTCAATTTATGCTGTAGACTTGTACAGCCAACAATGAAGACAAGATACACGCAACGTCGCAATTGATCGAATTTAGTTAAGTCTCATGGGATCACAAAACAAAGGATTGACTCGGGTGAAGAACAAAGCTGTTTTGGAGGAGAAAAAAAAAACAATTACTTATGATGGATGATCGCGAGCTCAGGAAAGAAGAGAAGAATAAAGTTTCATCAGAGTATAGTCTTATCACACTGCGCGCATATAGTATATAGGATATTGAGGCTCGGACACGTGCTTACATGCACAGCTGGCCACATAGCGTCTGTTGTGTGTCGGAGAGGCTTTTATTTATGTGCGTGCAAGCGGTACAAATATTTACGTCTCCCTTTTCTGTACCGCTAGAGATCGCATTTGTGTTCCTCGAGTCGTCGACTTACGGTGTAAGTTTCGAGCCAACTCTTGCAATTTGCGCTCAACACACCCTTTCGAGGATTTCTGTCAAATTTTCATCAACAAAGTTACCTTTGGTTTTTAAACACCCTTTGCATAAACAGTCGATTTTTTTTTTTTACAAAATACATATATATTGTGATCTGTGCCCATAAACATTGTTACAAAGCGGTAAGTGAGTTTTTACTCTTACGGTTGAACCTCGAGCAAAATAGCATTTGATTATTATTTTATTTTTTTTATTTTTCTTCTCAAGCTCGCTTGTAAAAACGTAAATAAATGCTTATCTCTCGATTATCCATACTCTTCGCCTCTGTGTCTAAGATAGATTTATATGTGTATACGTACATTGGGGTATCGTACACACGCGACACGTAACGAAGCGTCACTTTATGCCAATTTATTTAAACGAGACGCGGTGTTACGTTTCCTGTGGCTGGAAAACGGTGGCCCAAGGCCGCGAAAAATTAAGCGTGTCCTATTCGGCCCGAGAGACGAAGATCAAAGAAACCGAGCACAATGTGTGCGACGTGCAAAAATATTTCGTTGTGCCATTGTGATTTATCGCGCGTTGTTATTCGGCATACTTACGCGTGTTGACCAACTTGAAGTTTCGTACAATCGCTCGAAACTATTTTTTTTTTACTCTTATCTCCGTGTGAATCTAAATGACGAATAGATCATTAAATGTGTATGATTACTATTTTCATTCATTTTTTTTTCTTTTTTTTTTTTTTTTTTAATTCAATTAACACGGGCGCACGTTCACACCGAAAATACGCCCAAAATAAGCTATTTTAAAATCTACGATTATACAATAGTCAAAGAAGCATAACTTGAGTTGACTCTTATCGACTATTGAGTCGAGATAAGCTCCATTTTGATAAAAGTGAGAAACGCGGCTTGATCACTTATTTCATGGAAATACGTAATAGTATAAAAATGGCCTAGTTTCGGTACTCTTTTTATCGCGTGAATACAATTACGTTTTTTTGTCACTCAAAACTTTAGTTTCTGGCCCACTCGATTGCTTATTATATTTAATTATCTTATTTTGGTGAAATACAAAAAAGTTCGGTTTCCGCATTATCTTTCAGAACATTAATTCCCACACACGAACTCCACAACTGTCATCATGTCCTGGAATCTGGGACTTCTTTACATTGGTGCCATTATTTTCTGCGTCAGCAACGCGTTCACGGTCACCGTCCACCCGCTGCAGGACAAATACTTTGAACTGTCCGTCATCCACTTCAACGACTTTCACGCTAGGTAAGGGATGGAAATTTGACTGATCCCAAAAATGCCACGATCAAAGTAATGATGGTCACGGGATCGGTTTCGACACGTGTATATTGTGTAGGTTCGTCGAAACCAGTGCTGTGTCCGGCACTTGTCGTAAAACCGACGATTGCATAGCCGGTCTCGCGCGCCTGTTGACAGAAAGTCGGAAACTCATGAGGGAACGACCAAACGCCATTTTTCTCAACGCCGGGGATCACTACATGGGCACTCTATGGTACAATGTCCACACTTGGAACGCCACCGTTTACTTTCTCAACAAACTACCTCACGATGCCATAGTGCGTACTTATCATTTCAACTTGACAATTATACTGTGTTATTGTATCCATTTACGTTTGGCAGAACGTAGGGAATCACGACTTTGACGATGGCATTGAGGGCCTCGTACCTTTCCTTCAGCGGTTCAACAAGCCGGTCGTTGTGACAAATATCGACGATAGCGAAGAACCGACCATTCAGGTATACAAATTTCAAATGATGATTTACATTTTATTATTTTCGTATGGATACATTTTTACGATGTTCCAGGGTTACTTTAAAAACAGCACGATTATCACGAGAGGGAACCAGAGAATCGGTGTCATTGGCGTGATTCTGCAAAGCACCAGTGTAAGCTGTTATCGATCCAAGTTATACATGAAAATGACAAAGTACACAAATGTCATTGAAGTAGAGAATTTTCCTTTTCCAGACATTGGCAAAAACTGGAAAATTGAAGTTTCTGGACGAAATCGAGTCGGTGAATGCCGAAGCCACGAGACTGAAGGCCAAGGGGGTCGACATAATCATAGTTTTGAGCCACTGCGGCCTGGACGTGGACCGAAAAATCGCTGCCAATTGCCCGGATATCGACGTCATCGTTGGCGGTCACAGCCACACGTTTTTGTACACTGGTAAGACGACTTGTATTTCTTAACTTGGTTGGCAAAAAACGTCCAATGTCCCGTAATTGCATATCAAAAGGTACTCCACCGTTCAATGACAAACCCGAAGACGAGTATCCGGTTGTTGTCAAGCAGAATCGAACTGACCGGACGGTACTGATAGTTCAAGCGGCGGCTTTCACAAAGTATTTGGGGAACTTGACGGTGTGGTTCGACTCGCGAGGCGAAGTCGCCGACTGGGAGGGAAATCCAATATTATTGGACAAAAAAATCGTACAAGGTAAGTGATACATCATACTCATGTGCCAGGTTGTACTGGTGGTATACAATTGTACATTTGAAAATACGTGTTTCGATAGATCCTGAACTTCTGGAAGAACTGAAGCCTTGGCAGGAAGCTGTGGACGCAAAGGGTTTGGTCCAAGTGGGCGTGACCGAGTCCTTCCTGAACGGGACGTACTGTCGCGCTGAGGAGTGCAATTTGGCCAATCTCATAACGGATGCGATGGTTTATGCGGTGAATTTTTTTCAGCTTCAGATTTGTTGCGAAATTTGTACTTATCACGTAATTATTCGTGCTTTATCATGCATTTAGTACGTCAATAAATCAGATAATCCAAATTATTGGACGTACGCCGCCATAAGTTGCACAAACGCTGGAGGAGTGAGAAACGACATTCTTCCAGGCCCAATTACTTATGGTGACGTAGCTACTGTGCAGCCGTTCGACAACACGTGGGACGTAGTCGAACTGAAGGGCGAGGATCTCCGCACTGTAAGTACATGTATTTGGTTTTTTTTATCTTAATTAATTTATTATTATTATTTTCGATCTCTATCTCGTCACACGAACCTGTGATAAATTAAAAAAAAAAAATTTGTCAGACCCTTGAAGAATCAGTTGCGTTTAGTAAGAACCCGAAACAGTTCTGGGGAGTTCGTTTTCTGCAGTGGTCTGGAGTCAGGGTAGTTTATAATCTCACCAAACCTGCCTACTCTCGTATAGTCAGTGTCAAAGTCAGGTAAGCGCGTAACCATTATAATAAAATCTTTTCATAAACAATATAACCAACCAAACAAATATTTTCGTGTGTAGATGTCAAAAGTGTTCTCAGCCAGTTTTTGAAGTTCTGCACGATGACGAGTGGTACAGGCTGATACTTCCAACTTTTGTGCTGAATCAAGGTGACAATATAACGACAATAGCTATGAAACAACGTAATCATCAAATTGGTCGCCTCGACGTTCCACAAATTATTAATTACATTGAAAAAATCTCACCCGTAGATTATAAAGTCGATGGAAGGCTTACTTTGCTCGGCAATTGTTGCGGTTGACAAACTTTGTAAATACGAAATAAGCTTTTTGACACTATAATATCATGCGTTTTACAATATTTTCAGGTTGAAGGTTTCTCTATTAAAACATTACTTCCTATAGATCTATCATTTACATCAACTTATTGCAAAACCCGTAAATTCAATAACAACTGGATTTTGAAGCTCATGTTACGTCCGATCATCAAATTTTCCCAAAATTCCATTCACAACCCGTTTTTCTTTCCTCAACGGCTTACATATCACTTCAAGGTACACGCCATCCAAGTAATACCTAAAATTTTCTACTCGCTTCCTTTATCACTCACCATAGTTGCAACTGAGGTGCATGCTAATATTAGCCCTTTTTGACATTTGCCTTCGAAGTTTTTATTTTTTCCAATAAAGGACGTACGCACACCTCAAACCCAGGTGGCCAAACAATAGTTTTATTTTATTTTAAGCTACAAAACTAACTAATGTAAGTTATTTTTATTAATATTATTGCATGTAATTTTATTTTCCGTAAGCTTTGTTACGCGGAAAGAACAGCGGCATCTTTCAAACAAACATTCTTATTCCCCTAAAATTAATTAGCCATCGTTATCATACCGTCTTAACTATTTCTATTGTCTTTTTTTTTTTTTTTAATGCGGAAAGAATAGCGGCGCCTTACCAACAAACATTCTTATTCCCCGAACTTTAACGAAAACATTTTTTTCCCCGAACTTTTATCAATACCTTGCACACGAGTCGTTCTTACACAATTTCCGGAGCGTTAAATTTTTTTCGGTCGCGTAGGTCTCCACCACTTAAAACGATACATAAGCCGGGCACCTACCCGTAAAGAGCAGTTTTTACAGTTGATCAGCAGGTAGTTAGACGATACCATAAGAGCCTCCACCCTCGGATCGACCGCCACCTCCAGTAACCTCATCTGCCAGATTCACCAGTGCTCGGAGAGCCTTACGCCTTCGTCATCTGCCACGTCAACCCCTTTTTTTTCCTAATCATTTGTAACTCGTTGCTTCGCCGTCACAGGACATCACCAGAAGAGACTAAGTGCAAAGATAAAATAAAAAGTACGGAAATTTACTTCAACTCGTGTTCTGGAAAACGAACCGGGACGCGGTATTTATAAATCGTATCTTTCCTCCTGTGTTGATTGTTCTGGTTCCCCCCCAGACGATTTTCGCACCCACTCCTAAAACGGGTGGCCTTACGCTGTATTCAGGGAGCCCGATTCTTTCCTTCGGGAAAGGATTAGGCACATTCGTGATCTTAAAAACAGAAAAACGTCCCAGCCATTGGACGTTAACTCGTCAAGGCCAAAGTTCCGAGAACATGACCCCTGTCGCGCCCCGACAATTACAGTGTAAACGTCAGTTTGTTAATGAGTTGCAGTACATTCAAAAAAGTTCGGTATTTATGTAGTAGCACATGTGTGTTGGATGTCGATAAAACGAGCAAGAAACAATTGTAATACAATTTTTGATACCTCCAATGTTGAGGAAATGAACAAAATTGTCTAAAAGTAAGCATTTTCTTACGTAATGAAATCCGTTCGAATCTGTGTATACGTAAAAAAGTTACTCGTGACAGTCGATGCGTGAATGCCATCCGATGCACGGCTGTATGAAACAGTCCTTCGACGAGGCAAATTAATAAAACGGAAAAACAGGCTCATTAGTTTTCAAAGGCCTTGGAATAAGTTTCTCGAGTGTCCTAACTTTCATTTGCCGCGAACGCGATTCGGCAGCGAGTACGACTTTATTGCGGTATATCGAGCAGCACCTTTTCCGCCAAAGAAACAACAGTTGGCCAGACCAATTCTTATAGGACGTATCTGTCACTTCATCACGGTTTAGCAGATCAACGAGACAATTTTCCGTCTGGTATCTGCAAAGCGATAAGATTACCTATATTATTTGCATGTTGTATTATTAATATTGATAAAAGCAGAATCGCGTGTACTTGTGCTCGGTTGGTTTAGTTTCAAAATATGGGAGACACATTCTTGTCATACGCGAACACCTTTATCTCTGTGATATAGATAAACGATCGACAAGATCATTGTGCTCGCGTTGAAACCTTTATTGGCAAGAATCGGGGAGAACCGATCGCGAAAAAAAAAATCGGTATTAGATTCCAACATAGCGAACTCGGCGATTGTTCATTACCATTATTTTGCTCGTGATTTTCTTTATATTCTATTGTAGTTGTCCTGTCGCGTGACTCGTCATGTCCTGGAAGTTGGGACTTTTGTTTACTTGCGCTGTTGTTTTCCGTGGCTGCCACGCGTTCGTGGCTAGGCAGCATGAACACTTCGAGCTATCCATCATACATATCAACGATTTTCACGCAAGGTAAGCCATTTTATTTTTTTTTGGTTTAAATTAATTGTCCATCGTGCACAAAACACGGTAAACTGATGCGATTACTTTTGATCGGTAAAAACGCACGATAAGCACACTCGGCAATGTAAGCCTTGGTCTTGAGTGAATTGTGTATCATGTGAAAAGAAAATTCGTCCAAACATAGATTTGTAGAGACCAGCGCCACGTCCAGCACCTGCCACAAGGGACACGAGTCCAAGTGTGTCGGCGGTCTCGCGCGTGTGTTAACGGCCAGCCAACAACTGTTGAATGAACGGCCCAACGCTATTTTTCTCAACGCCGGGGATAATTACCAAGGCACGCTCTGGCACAACGTTTATCGTTGGAACGCAAGCGTTCACTTTTTAAATAAATTATCCCACGATGCTATGGTAAGTGTATAATGTAGGAAAAACGCGTTAATTATTATTCATTGGTTGTTTGTTGACACGCGAAAATGTATAAAGATTGATCAAATTTACTTGGAATTTACTCTATCGCGAGACTTTATTTATCATCGCACTGATCTTATTAGAATTTATATCCACGCATCTATCGATAATAATAATGTTTCGTCTTAATAGCTTGTGTTTTAAATTATTTTAATGTAAAAGTTTCGATGAAACACTTTTGACGGTTTTTGAACAAAAAATTAACCATCGAACATAAAATAAAAACAATTGCACCATTTTACGTGCAATGTATTTAATTTTAATACACTTTACTTTAATTAAATTGTAGCAAGGATACATCTTGTACATCGTTGGAGAGATTATTTACAGTACATTGATGTGTAAACTCACCGTGTAAATTATAGAAATTCGAATAATTTTGGTTAAACACATTATTCATTTGATGATTCACATTAAGTAATTATTATATATAAACTTAAAAAATATATTTACATGGTCTATGCTTCGTAAAAAAACCGTTAGTCGATCCGTTATCAATACGACATTTGGAACACCTAGCGTTTTATATTTCGGAATAAATTCGCTTAATTAGAATTTGCCCCACAGCGTCGGTGCCGCTGTCATATGTAAATTATATGTAAATTTCCATACTATAAGGAGTATTTGCGTAGAGTAAGAAATTATTTAATAACCTCATAGTAAACGACAAGAGGATAAACAGTAACGAGGAAAAATATTGTGCAAATTAACAACTCCCTCTATCCGCTGTTTACAGACAATCGGAAATCACGACTTTGACGATGGTATCGCGGGACTTGTCCCCTTCCTGAAACGAGCTAATGCACCAATTGTTGTGGCAAACATAGATGACAGCCTAGAACCAACAATCCAAGTAAATGCATACCTCCAATTCTAAATAATAAATCATAGCAATCTATTATTAGCTACTAACTTGTTTTTTGAGAGGCATAATTTTTCATCGCCAACGATGGTTCGTTAAATAAGAAAATAAAACGAACAATCAGATAAAAATGCTTGTAATGTTCCAGAATTACTACAAGAACAGCACGATTATCACGAGGGGAAACCGGAGAATCGGCGTAATTGGCGTGATTATACAGAGCACCAACGTAAGCGATGATTCGCGCATTTTTTAACTAATGAAATCAATCGAGTCAAACGGAAACAACGTTTTTCATTTCAGATTCTGTCCAATACCGAGAAGTTGAAGTTTCTGGACGAAATCGAGTCGGTGAATGCCGAAGCCACGAGACTGAAGGCCAAGGGAGTCGACATAATCATAGTTTTGAGCCACTGCGGCCTGGACGTGGACCGAAAAATCGCTGCCAATTGCCCGGATATCGACGTCATCGTTGGCGGTCACAGCCACACGTTTTTGTACACTGGTAATACATCGGAATTACTCGTAGAAAAAAAATTGGTCGTTTATAATTCAACAATACGTTATTTAATGACATGTGTTGTCAAAACTAAACTGTGCCCCGTACTTATACCTGAATTTTTTGTAGGTCAGCCACCATTTATTGACCATCCAATAGACGAGTATCCGGTTGTTGTCAAGCAGAATCGAACTGACCGGACGGTACTGATAGTTCAAGCGGCGGCTTTCACAAAGTATTTGGGGAACTTGACGGTGTGGTTCGACTCGCGAGGCGAAGTCGCCGACTGGGAGGGAAATCCGATATTATTGGACACGACGATCGAACAAGGTACGACAGTTTTAACGTACAAGTATACATGTGACATTTAAAATTGTCCGGCAGATCCCGAATTTCTCGAAGAACTGAAACCGTGGCAGAAAACTATAGACGCAATGAGTCAAGTCGAGGTGGGCGTGACAATTGGCTACTTGAACGCCACTTGCCGTATCGGCGAATGTAACATGGCCAATCTGATAACAGACGCTATGGTTCATGCGGTGAGCATCTTTTTCTTTTAATCAATATTATTTTAGTAACGTATGGAAAAAAAATATATGAATGAACGTGTGGATTTCCAGTATGTCAATAAATCAGATAATCCAAATTATTGGACGTACGCCGCCATAAGTTGCACAAACGCTGGGGGCATAAGAAATAGCATATCACCTGGTCTGATTACTTATGGTGACGTAGCTACTGTGCAGCCGTTCGACAACACGTGGGACGTAGTCGAACTGAAGGGCGAGGATCTCCGCACTGTAAGTATTATACATGGATCATCGCTCTGCTCTAAATTTTTTTTTTTTTTCTTATTCCGAATGTGCGTACTTGTGGTAAAATATTTCGTTGGTTTTCAGGCGCTAGAAGAATCCGTGTCGCGCAGTTACTCCGAAAAAATTTTCAGTGGAGCTGGTTTCCTTCATTGGGCCGGTGTTAGAGTCGTGTACAACGTCAGCCAACCTGCCTACTCTCGTATCGTAGACGTAAAAGTCAGGTGGGTTTTTCACTTTACGTGAAACAACCCTACAGTTTGAGTTAACAAATCGTCAACTACTGAGATGTGATTTTTTTTTTTTTTTCGTTAGATGCCAAGATTGCGCGGAGCCGAAATTCGGAGATCTGATGCATGAAAAATGGTACCGAGTGATCGTGCCGTCTTTCGTGATGAACCGAGGCGACAACATGACAACCGTATTCAAGAAACATCGTAATCATCAGTTCGGCGGTCTCGATGTACCGCAAATCGTGGATTACATTAAAGCCATCACGCCCTTTAAATACGAACTTGAGCAAAGAGTTGTGTTACTCGGCAAGTGCTGCGGTTAGATATATGACCATAGGCAAATTAAAAGATGTGGTTATCGTTGTTGTCTCTTTTAACGTGATAAATAATAAAAATGGATGAATTTTTGTAAAAAATTGTAACGCATCGAAACATGATTGGCAAGAAATAAAATATGCATCGATGAAATCAATAAACCACATAGGTGCCACATGAATCAAAGCCGTTAATTTAAGTTTCTTTGGTCAAGTAAATGTTTAAGAGTTTTACAGCTGCAGCGAGGTATAGGGTATAGTACCCATAAGTGCACGCACAGGAAGTGACAACTACACGCATGGGATATTAAAGCTCTTTTGGTGTTGCAGAGACGGAACAGCTGAGTTCGATCGCACCGCATGCACGTAAGGGCAATAAAAAAGAGAGTGAAACAAGGGGGAGAGCCTCTCGTACATATAGGCACATGGTGGGTACGTGTATATGTATAATAAAGACGGTGGAGTAAGACAGAAGTTTGTATATATATACGTATACACCACACACAATGGGGCGCGCCGTGAAAAAAGAGGGGCTCCTATCTCGCCCCATATGGTTTCCAAATGCCGGCTGCCCCGTTACGTGTGCGGCACACGCGCGAGTACCAATACGTATACACATAAATACATTTGTACATAGAGTTGGGGCCAAACGCTTTTTCTCTGTCCGGAGGGGGCTTCGCTCTCGTTCGCCCGTAGGGTCGCCCGCGACAGTCTGTTTTTGTGCGCCTACCCCCCCAGGCTGATCGACGCTGTGTCGTGTGCTAGTCGTCGTCGTCTCCGTTGTTGTTGTTGTTTTTTTTTCCATATTTTTTTTTTTTTCCCTCCTTATATTTAACACTTTTGGGAAAATTTTTCCCATTGTTTTTAAGCGTGCTTGGACCTTCAACGAGGGTGCGCCGATCGCTCGCAAAGGCATGTTGCTAAGTATACATTTAAATTTCCGGAGCTGATTCATCGATCGAACAAATTTTGTAATATTCGATTCGTGAGAAAATACATTTTTTTTTTTCTTCTCCCGATTACATTGGAATGTGCGCGCTCGTACACATGCGGGTATATTGCGTATATGTATATACATGTAAGATGGTTCCATGAATCATCGCAACCCTTAAAAATTTACTTTGAAAATACAATATTGGCTGCTCTTGTGAATTGTTCTTCGGTACTTGGCCGTATTTAATTATTTTCTCAATTAGTTGACGGTTGCCCTCAAATTTTCATTCCGAGCGACGAAGAACAGTTGGATGTAAAATAAAACAAACCAGTGATATCTAATCGAACGCCAAACTAACCCGCCCGACTTTTAAACAGATAAGTGCGGAGGAGCCAATCGGAGGGGAAAAAAAAAAGTCATCGCAATGATCCCAGAGCGAGACGACTTTTGGCTGGGCGGAGCGCCATCGGAGACGACGGCATCCGGACGTGTCCCTTCCTCGTCCCAGCTGGCGCCGGACGCTGCGGTCGATCACTTGCGACTCAACAGGCCGGACCCGAACTCGGCTTGGTTCACCTATTGCCGGTACGTCGAGGCCATGGAGGCCACGGGCAGGAAATTCGACCAGAGACTCGTGCTCGAGGCCATGTTTCGCGGCAGCAACCTCGTCTACAGGGCTCCTCCTCCCGCCGCGACCGCTGATTCTTGATGTGCTCTCTTCTTTTTCTTTGCCCCGCGTACTTGACGATGGTTATTTTTACCGGTGTAGGCGTGTGTCCGAGGGGGGGCCTCGCTCTTATTGCATCTGCTAGTCATAAAATTCGTACGTGTATTATGTACATTTACATGTGAGTGCCGGGATGGATGAGAAAAGTAATTTTTTTTTTTTTTTTTTCATTCGCATGATTGAATCGTTAGAGACCAAATATTATTTCTCTGTGAATTTTCGGAGTTTATGTGAGCCGATCGGAGGTGGGACGCAAACAAATACTAAATTCAAAGAGAATTTCACCTAGTCCTTACGGAATAAGTTACATCAATAACTTTTTTTTGTTATTTTTTTTTACTTTAATTATTATTATTATTATTATTATTATTATTATTATGCCAAAACCAATATTACCTCATACACTGCCATGATATTATTATTATTATTATTATTATTACTATAAACTCATGAGATTAGAGTAGCAATATTAGTTAGATGACTAAGTAAACTATGTGTGTATTATTATTAGTTAGTCGAAATAAAAATAATTTGACATTGATTGATCTATTTATAGAACTGTGACTATTTGTATGGACGAAAAAGGAGAAAAATAAATGGAAAAACAAAAAAAAACAAGACGTATGTAGACTTTGTTTTTATAATTCAATATTTTATTGTACAATTCCATTTCATTTAATTAATAACAATACAAAGTGTGATCATACTATATCACACGCCTCTATACATAACACAACATGGAGCCTCATATTATTACTGGTTTTTCATCTTATGCATAGAATAATACTTTTTATCTGTATGATTATTTAAAAGATTTGACACGGGTAATAGGGGGTCGAAGTCGAAAAATTCGTTATCGATATGTACGTCGTAATCGTTTATTTTCTTCAATAAGTACGAAATTTCAAGGCTTTTTCAGCACAGACTCTAGATTTCGAAAAATTTCATTTGATCAACAAATTAATTTTTTTTCATCGCGATATAATATTGTTTTTATTTTTTTTTTTTTTTATCAAAGACTGAAGAGTTTTGTAGTTCAATAACTTGTTATTTCACCGTATAAATCAGCATTTTAATTACTTACATCCGTCAACTACTGAGATGTGATTTTTTTTTTTTTTTCGTTAGATGCCAAGATTGCGCGGAGCCGAAATTCGGAGATCTGATGCATGAAAAATGGTANTTTTTCAGCACAGACTCTAGATTTCGAAAAATTTCATTTGATCAACAAATTAATTTTTTTTCATCGCGATATAATATTGTTTTTATTTTTTTTTTTTTTTATCAAAGACTGAAGAGTTTTGTAGTTCAATAACTTGTTATTTCACCGTATAAATCAGCATTTTAATTACTTACATCATTAATTGATTATTTTTGTTACCTAAATCGGCAAACAATTTTTACCTATAACAAAGAAACTCAAATTCATTGAAACCGAATTATCGTATATAAATTTAAAAATTCAATTTATTTTATTTCACGATTCGATTAAAACAGATAAACAGACAAATCGTCAATTGATTACACATTTCAACCTTACTTACTTCACTTTTACTAAGTTACATTTTCTAAATCTAGTAAATTCAGATAACAGTTGTCCTAATTTAACACCAAGTTGTTAATATAACAAATCAGCTACACATCAACTAAATTTTCATACGAATCATCAACTTAACATTTTTTATGTATCGTTTAATACTACGAAACATTACACCGATGTAAAGGACGTAATAAAATATTGTTACGGATAAAAATCTGTGTACAGCTGTATAATCGCAATATATAAAAAAAGAGCATGTAAATGTTTCCAAACAAACTTCTGTTACGTTTTGTTTTGAATACAATTCCATTCTCTCCTTATTTGCACAAGAAAAATCATTTAACCCAACAATACGCTAATAAAGTAAAAGCTGCGTAAATAGATCGCTTTTAAAACTCTTATAAAAAAAAAAAAATAATCATAATAAATCGTATGTATTCATTTGATTAACATGTACGTTATAAAAAAATAAATCATTAACATTCTAGAATTCATCTAAAGTATGTATAATTAAATCGGAATCGCGATAAGCATAAAATGCACTTTACTTTTATCATGGCGTTAACTATTGCACTGCCAATGTAAAAACATTACTTAAGTAACTATCTCGCTTGAATCGAACAGCATCTCGGAGCATTAACTAAATGATAAAAAAATTTTGCGAATTGACTCGTTAACCTGCGAAAATTATCATCTGCGAGAAAAAAAAGTTCGCTACCGTCTGATATGTGGTTGAATCTCAAGACGGTAAGACATCGAGTTCCAGTACGCTCTGAGTGGCAATTGATTTATTATCGTTAACAGACCTGAAACTTCCTGCTGAGCCATTCTTAAGGTTTCTCTCCTCGCCACCGATTGCGTTCACGGCAGCCGAATGCCTCGGAAGCGTCGCGATTGGATTTGTCTCTTTCACTCTTTTGACCTTTTCGCCTCTGTCTATTTCTCGCGCTGACTCTGAGCTCAGTCTTGGTTTCGTCAAATTGTTTGCAAGATTATTAGCGTTTGAATTCTGAAAAACAGAGTAAAATAAAAGTTGTTACTAGAGATCACAAACAGTCATTCATAAATTTTACTTCTTTGGGCTTAACTTACCAGTTTATCGATTTTCTGGCTGTTTTCATCGCAGTAATTAAGCACTGTCTGCATGGACACGGTATTTCTTCTTTCATCGTACAACATGCGCGGATTGAGTGGTACCTCGCGCGTTGATCCACCAAAACGATCCACATTTCTGAAAGGCAGCAAGCAGTCCGGTGGGCTTCCTCGTTGGCTGTTGGACCACTGGTGTTCGGTGGACCCAATTACTGCGTAATCCGAGGGCACGCTCTCGGATACACGCTTTTCGATTTTGATTTCCGTAACTGGATTCTGCCGAATCAGCAAGTCAGGTGCAGCCTCCGGTAATGGTTCGGGGGATAGTGGTGGCCAGTCGATTCTATTGGCCATATTTCTTTCGAATAGACGGAATTTCTGGGGCGACTTTTCAATGTTGTGCAACTTCTTTCTCAATTTTGTAAACACCAGGTATTCGATAAAGAAATACTCTATGAACATCGCCAGTACAAAGTTGATCACTCCGTAAGCTAGAAGATATAGCCTAAAGTTCGTGTCATCTGGTAACTCCAACTCAAACTGATTTCGAAGAAACTCGAACGGCCCGAGGGCCAAGTAAGTCGAAAATGCACTCAGCAATATGAATGAAGCCAAGAGTCCGTAATTCGTCCAAATGGCTTTTCTGTAAGGACGACCCTTGGAAAACACAACGGCAATAATAATATACTGAATCGAGCTAACGATGAACACGGTGTAATTCTCGTGACAGCCAACGAGGTCTTTATTTTTGGGCGGCTCAAAGGGCCGAAACCATTGCATTGAGCGCAAGTTCCACAAGCTCAAGTACTGAAACACGGCGACGAGTAAGATTTGGGAGAACAAACTGAGTACCGGCGTAAGGCTAATCAAGCTATTTTCAGGTGGTGTTTTGTGTAGGGGTCCCTCGTATGCCTTGGTCTTACCAAAGAAAAAGGCAAAGATCGAAATGATGAATAGATCGATGTAAAGAAACTCGTAGTCCGTGAGGTTCGACTCGATCTGGTAGAGCAGCTTCACCGAGATAAATTGGATGAGCGAGTAGCCAGCCATGTACTTGAAAATGCCGAACGAGGTGACAAGGGCGGCTCGGCCCTCACGTACCACTGTCAATACACAAGAAATGTTCGTGTCTCGGCTTGTAAACGGCGAAGCAACTGAGGATTCCGTGTCTGATAGCGAAATACCCGTGTGAGCAGCTTTCAAAGCACCGCAGTCGTTGGCACCATCACCAACCATCGCCACGTAATAACCGAGAGCTTGTAGTTCTTGCACCAGCTGTTGCTTTTGGTCCGGTGACATTCTTGCGAAAATAGTTCCACGAGTCACTATGTTTGGTATTAACTCAGGATAATATTGCTTTATCAATGCCCACGTTTTTCCAGTTAAAGCAAACACGTAATCGTTCTTCTTGACACCTTTTCCTTTACCATTGCGTTGAATACTAGAAGTATAAATATGTTTTTTAAATGCAAAAAAATTTTAAACTACATACCCACCATAAATAAAAAAAAAACTCACTTATCGGATAAATAATTAAGACCAGAATCTGTCCGATGATTAGCAAAGCCACTTTCAATGGTCTCTAGACTAACAATACTATTGATGTCGGTGATCTCGCTAAAGTCGCCTTCAGGCCCGGCAATGATCGGCGAAGAATTACTCTGACTGCCCTGAGATTCACTTCGCGTGTAGTATATGCTGGGTTGGGTTTGATTTTGCTGCGTGACTGCAGTCACAGCAATAACTGGCACACCAGGCTTAACTATATCGCAATCACGGGCAACCGACAAAGCTGTAAGTATATTGTCACCCGTCACCATGACCACTTTGATTGCCGCTTCGTTCAATGCTGCAATCACCGGCATGGTTTCCGGCTTCAATCGGTTCTCCAGAATCACGAACCCTAGGAAGTTCAGCTCGGTTTCCGCAACTTCTCGGGTCATGCGTTGTACTTTGGCATAGGACAGTTTCTTAAGCGATTTGTGCGCTAGAGCAATCACACGATAGCCCTCGGAGGTGTATTCTTGCAAAATATTGTTAAAATCGTGCGGGACTGCAATGATAAAAAAAAAAAAATTTCATTCGAGATGAAAAATTTATGTCAAGCGAGAGACATAATTGAATACTCACTCGAATCTGGATTTGAAAGACTTAGGATCATTTCAGGGCTGCCCTTGCAGTAAAGATCGTAGTGGTCAGCACCGAGTGTCCTGATGATAACACTCATACGCTGTAGGCTCGAGGTGAACGGAAACTGTCTGACAATGCCAATCACCACTCCATCATCGGTTAATTCTGTATTTGCCGTCAAATTTTCAGTGACGTCTGCGCCAAGCTCGTCATTTATGTGCGATGGTTGTTGGTAAACTGCAGAGTCTGGTGGTCTAACAATCGTGGGGAATAACATGGAAAATTTTGACGTGTCCGAGACGTTGGGTTCCTCCAGTATCCATCCCGTGGACTCAAACATCTTCAAATCCAATGGATCGCCTACCAACTGACCGTCAATGATGGTGATTGAGTGACAAGTGACCATTCCTATGAGAACCTCGTTTAGCGGGAGAATAGTCATGTCTTTGATTGGTAATTGGAATTTTGTCGTGCAGACCGTGACTACGCCCCACATGTCCAATCCATCTTCCGTTAAAGTGCCAGTTTTATCAAAACAAACGCAATCAATTGATCCGGAAACATTAATAGCTCTGGGACTTGTGCAGTAGATTCTGCTTTTTTCCAGTCGATGTTGGGCCACTATTGGAAAATACAGAAATTGGTTTTTTTTCAAATGATTTTTATAGTTATAAAAGAACAATAATTGGGGTACAAAAATTAATCACCTAATCTTCCAATGGTCATAGCGGCTGGAAGAGCCGGTGGAACGACGATTGTATAAAGATCAAGAGCCTTGACAATAATGTCCATTGCTGAGGCGCCTCGCGAAATTTTCGTAATGACAGTGTGGACGACTCCGATGCTGGCAACAATAGCGAGAAGTATGACAAATTTGTACGAGTCCTGCTCGAACTTGAAGTCAACCGGCGGTGGATACATGATGGAACGAACAAGGCCACCCTTGCTTGTGTTGTAACCAGTACGAATAACTACGGCCAGTACCTTCTCGTTGCCAAAATAACGCGTTTGTAGAATCTTGGTACCGCAGTACAGAGTGTGCCTTGCGTGCTCCTTGCTCTCGTAGATAACATCGTTGGTTGCAGGCATGGGAGTCTTGGTGACTGGTACCGATTCACCTGTCAGCATAGACTCGTTGAGGATGCAATTACCCGTGAGGAGGACAGCATCGCACGGCATCACACAACCGTGCGACGGTATTACAAGTGTGTCACCCACCACTAGGTATTTGGATGGAATAGTGCTCGTGGCGCCAGTCGAACGATCACGTAATACTGTCACCATATCTGACGACGAGACTGTCGATCGTAGTCTACGCTGGTTCTGCAAAGACGGAATGTTCTTTTAGTTATAAAGCAAGACCAATTCAAACAGAAGGGTTAATTTTTCAACTTACCTTTTGAGTCTGTAGCACAGCCATGACAATACCACAACTAGACATGAACAAAATGACAGCAGCATAGTAATAATAATTATCGGATATCCACAGGATGAAGCTGAGGATCTGGAAGACGTAGAAAGGATTAAGGACCTCGAGAGCGAGGAGGTGAAGGAAGTTCTTGACTGGTACGACGATCTCGTTGTTGCCGTAGATGCCGCGTCGCATACTTTGCTGGGCAGCACTTAGACCCGGCGTCTGATGGAGAGTCGAGCTCAACACGCCGGTGTCTAGACCTCGCAGCTTCAGGTATTCGCATCGGTCAGTGTCCCAGATGTAGATGAGCTTCTTGCACGTGAACATGACGATTGATTGCGCTTCTGCAATGAAAAAAGTTGTTTTCAAAATTTCTGGTTTTTTATGAAAAATTTGTTCACAAAAATCAATGGAAAAAAAGATTTTTTTTTGCGTTTATCTGAATGCTTGTTAACAGTTAATAGTTAGCAATCGACAAAATACGATTTTCTCAACAATATAATAAGTGAAATTCATTTGACTGATTGTGATGTGCAACGTAATAGAAAATTAATTTTTCTTTTAATCTTCAAACGTACCCTTGAAATGACCACCAGATAAATGAAATGACAGTGGCATTGGCGCTTGTTCTTGATCCAGCTCTGGATCAACCGTAATAACGTTGTGCTCCGAATGCGAATCATACAATTTGGAAGGTGAATTTTTTTCGCTGGCATTTTTTTCGTCCTGATAATTTTTCCTTCATCGAACAAACAAGAAAGCGGTCGTTTAAATACACAGAGTAAAGACTTGCCACTTGCTTAAAAAGATTACTATCAATAAATTAACACTTTACGTTAAAAAAGTTTTATATAACAAAAAATATGTATATATACCGTATGTCCTGTGCTGAGACAGTCTTAATTTTCTTCACGTAGTAGCTGGTGTGCTTTCCCTGAAACTTCTCGATTAGCAGCACCGTTTCTGCTTGCTCGAGAGAACATTTCGAGTGGGTGGTATAGAGCATGTAACGTGGAGTCCAGTGAAAAAAAAGTCTTAATGCTCCACCCGTGATTATTATCAGGAACCATGTTGCGGCAGTGTAAACTGTATTTCTTTTATACCTGATATGAAATATACAGTAAGTTCGAACTTGAGTTTTAGTTATCAACACATTTAAGACAAAAATGTTTATTGATAGAAAACTCACCCATAAATTTCCATCTGATCTTCCTCACCAGGATTAACATAATCCACTCCATCCTTCAAGGGTACAAGGCCGTTGCCTCTAGTCTCTGAAAAAACAGGAGGTAAAACCATGAAAATTGAATTGATGTTAACAATCGTCATGTAACAAAATAGAAGAATATAAGGGGCGCAAGGTGGCATACGTATTTTTAACTTTATGATTTTGTCACATGCAAAGTAAAAATAAGCAAGAATAAGTTTTTATTTTACAATCTTACCCTCCAATAGCTCAGTTTTTTGCTCTTTTTGCTGATCTACATTAGCATTGTTGGCTCTTACGCCAAAAACGCTGTAATTACTTCTGGTGAAATTCAAGGAGAGTTTATTTGGTGTAGCTGGCATTTTTAAAACAACGATTTTTTTTCTCTATAGTTTTTTAAAGCCCTGTTTTTTTTCCTCAGTTCCTAACTACCGTATATTATTTATTTTTACACATACAATATATTCAACTGATACATCTATACATACATCTATAACTAACAGCTAAGAATAAAAACGCACAAAATGTCTAATCTTTGGCTTGTAATTCTTCAAATGCAAATCACATACATGGTATGTAATCTTCACCAAAGTTCAGTGTGTAACATATATATATGTATATATATATGTGTCAAATGCTCCGAGGTTGAATCAAGAATATGAACCCAAGAAAAAGTAAACTCATCTGCTACCGACACATAGTGAGCGTCATTTTGGAGTCTTTTTCCACGAGTCTTTCAAAGATCAATACGTAGCAATAGCTTTGCATTTGACAAGAGCTAGTGCTATCGTTTGGTATCTTTTGTGGTGAAGCTGATGTCTTGTCAGTCACCAGGATCAGTCAGATTTTGCCATCCGATTGAATCAACAATGTCCCTCTCGAGTTTGCTCATTTCTTGTTGTGATCTTGAAGCTTGGGATTCCTTGAGACCTCCCAACAAGAAGACGTCTTGATCAAGCAGGAAGATACTTGCCAATGGAAGATGAACAGCTATCAGGAAAAAGTAAGCCTGTTACTCACATATCAGTGGGTATCGTATGTGCATTGACAATCATTAATGAATAATGATCGATGACATGAATTAATCATCATAAACAATTTTACTAATACATTTAAAGATAATCATCAAAGTAAATTAAATATCTTTCAAATAAATGATCGATATACTCTAAATTTATCCCAAAACTATGAGCCAAGATTATTATTAGTTATCTCTTGTTTGAGAGTTTGTTAATACCCAATCGGATGAGTCACAGAAATATTATTGTCTCAATTGCATGTAACTAATGATTAATAAAAAAGTCAAATAAATTGTCAATAAAAGAGAGAGAAAAAAAAAAAAAACAGAATTAATCAGAACAAAGTATAGGCATACCCTTGGCTGTCTGAGCAGCAAGATGAAGCTCGGAGGCTGCAGTTGATCTCGCAAGTAGTCTGCTGCTGTGAGATCTCAAATACATTACGAGCTATGAGAGTGCGTATCCCAAATAACGCGCGCCAACTGACTAATTGACGCAAGCGAGAGTGAAAGAGTTTGTATGATACTTTAAAAAAAAAAGAAAGAAAAAGAGTAAGACACAGGCGCGGCACTTACGAAATTGGATTTGATTCGGTCCACTTAGCACTTATTCAGCAGATCTTTCTGCTGCACGCACTTTGTTCCTTATGTCTCTTCTCCTCCAACTTTTTGATTGTTGTCTCTTAATCAAAAAGAGAGTGGAGCACACTCGTATTTTAGACACTGCACGCGCAAATACGTAGGTATATATAATTATATGACACTTGTGTCAACAGCAAAGCAAGAACGTCAAAATATTTTACTTAGTTTTTTTTTTTTAATTCACCAAGTTCACACTTAAGTAAGTATAAATAAATGACGCGGGGAGGAGGAAAAAGTATACAATGAGCTTGCTGATGCAGAAAAATAAAAAGGTAATGGACAGCAGATGCTCGCACCCGCGTCAGAAAGAGAGCCTGAGGAAGTAAGTCAACTATTCTGAAGAATGTATACTTAAATATCGATCAGGAGTACTTATAAAATATGCAGCCGGCTGGTTGATGTTTCTCGAGTTTCCAATGATGATGACGATGATTCAGACGATTCGCTTGGCGGATATACCCGACGCGGGACTTCTAAGAACACGAAATTCCATAACAACGTGCTCGATCATTCCCCCTGGTGTTTTGTGCATGACGCCGCACTAGCGTTACACTTGCTTCCCTGTAATTTTACTTTATTTGGTTTATATTTTTTACCAACACCAATCTTCAGATTCCTTGTTATTGCAACATGGGGTGCAACCTCGCTTTCTCAAGTTTATCACACACTAGTACGTTCAACTGGATCAGGGAAAACCCGAAGCGCCGAACCTCTCACTACACTTACTGCTGGTGACAATGAAAAAAAGCTCTGCGTTCAATATCACGCGGCGACCTCGTCAAGATGGCGAGGAGGGTGCACATTGCACATGGGTAACACACACAGAGCACACACAGGCTCTCCTGCTTGTTCCCCCGTGGGGCACTAAAAGCTTTGACGACGATAAATTGCAAATTTCTATATCAGCTCCAAATTTTCAAGTCTGCTGGACACAACAATATCCATCCACACAATGCAAATGCTGTGCATCCACTAGGTGATCACGTAGAGGTGATTCACGGGCGCGTGCAAAAACACTTCGCAGAACAAGGAAATGCGAGACTCTGTATCGTGGTGGCCTTGGTGACACACGCACTTATACACACACACACACACCCAGCCAGACTCTCTCGCGAGCAATCACAAGCTTGTGCAGATCAGATATCGCAGTATAGAGTAGAGCCAATATTATACTTATTAAAGTAGAGGTAATTATCTTATTTTGAACATGTACTGCGGACGACAGCGTGCCACACACTGAACTGCACTCTGCGGAGCGTGCACGAGTCAAGTTCGCGATATCGGGACAGAACAGAACCGCACCGGATGATCAGTTGTCTCCTGGGGCTCGTTGCGTTCGTGCACTGGGGAGTAGGTACTCTGCTTAGGAGTTAGGACGATGCCGCACAGTTCACTCGTAAGATATATAGGTAACTTTTATAAGCTCAACGAGAGAGAACAATTGCATACTTTTTATAACACACTCCGACAGTCCGACATCCGAATACTCCGACCCGCGCGCGCAGCAGACGATATTTTAGAGGCATAACACATACGTATANCGATATTTCATCAGTTTTCAAATATCGGGTATTGCAAAAAGTTACGGGACACAATAATAACTAAAATAACACACACAAATGTATGTTTTTTAGCTCAATAATAAATTGTACTTCCCCAAATTTGTACAAGCGTTTCGCGAAATGCAAACAATCACACTTTGACAATAATAAAACAATTGAAAAAAAAAAAAAAAGCATTCATCGTTTAGTTGCAGATTTTCGCATGAGCGTCAAAAGAGCGTATCATTTCCTTGATCCCGTTTCCCGTTAGTCAACAGTTAGGTACACTTATAACAATCATCGCGATAAAACGCAGTGTCGTAGTTTTTTTGCGTAATCGCGTTGTGGGCGTGAGAACCATATATAGCCCACGAGTATAATCTTGTGCAGCGAGGCCGCGACGAGGAGCTCTCATGTGCACATCGATGTCAATGTCGATCGGCGGCGATTAAGTACGAGCGTGTCGAAACATATGGTATAAGTACTTACTAACGTTAATTAATTCAATAATTATAGTATATGTACATGCCGGAAAAAGTTTTATGACTGCTATAGCTGCCTCAAAAAAAAAACAGTACCTCTGTTATAGTTGGCTTGCTAGTTGTTGCAGACTGCACTCACACCGTTTTGGACTCAACTGTTGAATGATTAACAATAATTTTAGCTTTTAGATGAATCGAGGTATCCTGTGGCTAATCCAATAACTCAAGAATAATGATGTATTCAAGTAGTATCAGTACGTCGGAAGGTCAAAGCGCCCTGGAGGTAAAGTGTACTTGTATACATATATTCAAACCACAATAATAGCACACCCCTGAGCTTGTTTCTTTCCGTATGACGCTTGTGAGGCGTTTTTTCTTCGACAGCGATTTTTGACTACATGGCACACGCACGTAAATATGTTATTTTTCGTTTTATCTTCTTATCAAAAAATTTCAGAGACATCCAATCTCATATGGTTATGAATAAAAACGCATACTTCTAAAGACAATTACTTTGCTAGGATTTTAGCATCTAGAGACTTTCATTTTACTTTTTACAATGCTGAGAGAGCTGTAATGGGGACATCCCCTAATTTTAAAATTGTGAAAATAGATTTGGTTTATTTGATATTGTGTTGCATCAAACTTTTTTCTAATTTGATTTTTTTCACAAGCTAAAAACACGTACAATAAACTTCACGACGAAACATTTCGAACAAATCTTATTGGAAGTAATATCAGATGACAAAAACAATATCCGTGATACCAAATTACTCTCTAATTTTGTGATTTTTTTTTTTTCCAAAGTCGACCAAATACCACTCAGCAACACCGATTCGCAAGCTCAGTTGACAAACTTCAGTTTACCAGCATATTATACACATGTAAGTTGATTTCTACAGTCGATAGCAATGAAAAGTTTTTTTCTTGCTTTGGGGGGACTTTTTTTTCCTATCCTTGGTAGCGATCCAACCATATGCGTCACCAGGCACAATAGCTACTATTTTCAAGTATCCAAAAAGACAAAGGTAATCATATAGTTGCATTATTAATACGTTACTTGTTAATGATTGATTTTTCCATCACAATACCTCGAATACATGTTATATGTAGCCGAGGAGCACACACACGTGTGCAACGGTCAACGCATAAAGGCGTTGGCAGTTGATTATATTATATACTCAGCAGAAAATCTAGGAGCTATGCATAGCTTGGGTATCTCATATTTTACCATCAGCTTTGTACACTCACAAGTAAGTGCTTGTTTGAAGAGCGCATTGACGTGTTATTGTATAGAATATTTCAACCCCGCACTGTACACTGCTGCAGTGGACGTTCGTAGAAATTGGGTGGATGTCCCACGTCATAGATACTTTTACAGCCTTACATCTTATTTGAGAATATAAAGTCACGAGACACATAATCTGTGTTCCCTCTGTTGTAGTTGATGTGTACACGCGCGTGTGTCCGTGCACCGTTGTATTTAAAATAGACTTGGCAATTTGATTCTCGATGGAACGTATAGTATCGGTTTATTTTCGGCAACCCGCGCAAGGTTAGTCATCTCTCGCTTGTTACGTATAAATGCACACGCGCCCCCGTCTGTGTAGATTATATGTTTATCGAATAGTCCATCGAGTTTTTTGTTTTTTCAATTGACTGTTAAATTATCGTAGGAGTATCGTTTGGATCGCGAGTGTTGCGAATTCTTACGAATTTTGATAGAGTGCTACATCTTGCGTATACTCGAATAAACGCCGCGACTGAAGAAGAAAATAAAAGAGCGAAGAAACTCATAAATCGTCTGGATTCCTTGCGCGCTTCTACAAATGATGCACGCCATAATTCGTCAAACGGGAATTTTTCTTGAAAAATGCGCTCCCTGTGTCAAGGTGAAACAAAACGAAAAAAAAAAAGAAATCTCCTCGAAAGTCTCTGTACTATAATGGTTGTGCGACTTGGCGTGGCTTATAAATCACTTTGCACGCATATATACTGTGGCAACGATTCATCCTTTGGTAAAAAATGCGACTCTACCGACAAAAAGAGAATAGCTGCCAAGCCCAAGTCCTTTTTTTTAATTTTTTTTTATTATCATACGGACCGTGTATGCGTGACGCGTTCCATGTACGATATACACGCGTGTACATAAATATACAGATTTTTCGAGGGCTTCGTTATGGCAATCGCGTCCCTTTGTTTCGAGCATATAATAGCGCTTTGATCCGATCTCGAGATGTTTGGGACAAGGTTTTTTTTAAATTTTGTTTCGGGGGTTCCTCGCTTCGAGATCTCTTCCAAATATTTGAGGAAAATGATGATCGCTCGTGAGTTATGACGATAAGAAATTCCGTCTCTGTACGTACACATATTTATACTGATGATTGCGAGTTTTGGAAACGAAAGGTTGCCCGATATTTCATCAGTTTTCAAATATCGGGTATTGCAAAAAGTTACGGGACACAATAATAACTAAAATAACACACACAAATGTATGTTTTTTAGCTCAATAATAAATTGTACTTCCCCAAATTTGTACAAGCGTTTCGCGAAATGCAAACAATCACACTTTGACAATAATAAAACAATTGAAAAAAAAAAAAAAAGCATTCATCGTTTAGTTGCAGATTTTCGCATGAGCGTCAAAAGAGCGTATCATTTCCTTGATCCCGTTTCCCGTTAGTCAACAGTTAGGTACACTTATAACAATCATCGCGATAAAACGCAGTGTCGTAGTTTTTTTGCGTAATCGCGTTGTGGGCGTGAGAACCCAGTCGCGCGCCTCGTGGCTACCTGCAATTTTCGGTACAATTTTGAATGCGCAGTTTTTTTTGTTCCACGCGCGACAGTGCACCTTTGATTGATCGATTGAAACAACGGAGCCGATCAACAGATATCGCATAGGCGGGAAAGATCGCTGGGCTTATCTCGAGATACCGGGGATTAACATTGAGGTTTTGCGCGTCGATGAATTTTCATCGGCGGTGATTCGGAATTGTCACCGATTTTTCAGGAATTAATTTGCACGATGCTTTCAATACAAGTATGACTTTTTTTTAATAGAATTGGATGACAACATTTTATTTCGTACATGTTATTGGAATTGTTTTTCGTTGTGTTGGTATGATGGCAAGTAAGAGAAGTAACTCTTACTAATCACATATCTTGTGAAATTTGTGACGACATCAAACTTTAACGTTAATTTTTCAAAATAAATAATGTAGCGTTTTAATTGAATCATTAAAAACGTGTGTGTGGTTATACGCAACTTGTGAATATAGAAATGAGATTTTCTAATTTGCTATGAAATTTACTGACCGCGTAAAAAAGTTGTTATCCTACCTACAACATGAATTTGCTTTGAAGAAAAAAAAAAATTGTTTTCCTTGTTACTACGAGGAAAAACAATATTTCAACAGTTACAAGGTTTCAACTAAAACCAAAATATTTGAGTTTTCCTTGATGTAATTTATAGTTAAAAATAAAAAGTTTCTCGTGCAATAATGAACTTTTATTTCATACTTTTGTTTTGTGTCGTATGTTAATGACTCGAAAAATTCCGCTCGTGTCCAGTGTGCTGTGCGCATGTTTTCGCAAGATAAGATATCACGTTATATCAAGATTTCAACGTATTCATGAAGAAATTCATCAAATGTCTTAGACAATAATACATCGTATAGCAGGTATTGATTTTAATTAATTTTTTTTCAACTATCCGAAATCATTTCGTTTTCTCATAATTTCTTTTATTTTTACGTTTTACTATCCACTGGTGATAAATACAGTTACGCGAATCTCGTGAATATGTCACAAAATAATTGCTTTCAAAGCTTTGTAAATTGATAATCATCATTAGTTATTATTACCTAGTTACTAGTACCAATGTTGGAAATTTAATATATTTCCAATTTGCTTAAAATGAGAAAAAAATAACTGTAAAAAAAATTGCTATTAACACTCACTAAAAAACAAAAAAAAACAAAATTACATACGAAACTCTCAACGGCAAAGTAGAAAGTAAAATATGAGAGAAATAATAGTCGAGGATAAAATAAAATAACTATCACGCATCGTAAGTTATAATCAGCAAGTATCGGAGGGGTGATTCCTAATGATGCCCAATGTTTGCTCCGATAAAACATTGATGTTTAGTCAGATAACAAAGGCACGAAAAAGAGTTAAAGTTTTATTGAAATCATTTTATCATCAATGACAAAATCGACACCAGTAATTTGATTTTGCAATACTCGTTGAGATTAATTTGAAACTTCTTATTAATTATCTACCGGAAACGATGAAATTACGATAAAGTTACCTAAAGTATGCGCGTACAAATTAAAAAATCGTACTGCTGCATATTATTACGAGCCATTAGGTGCCAATACATGACAATATAATAGAGCCAAATGATAATCGACCTAATTTTTCTAACATGATAAATTCAATTTATGACTTTAAAACTTGTTGTAATTTGCTTCATAAAAAAAAATTTACCTTCTCTTAAGCAGTCACAGTACAAAAGTTGAGGCTCTTGATTAAACTATTGTCGATAGCACTTTGAATATTATATATCAACTGTAAATTCCAAACTCATTAGCCGAGAATTCGATATAGGCTATCAAAATGTATTTTCAAAGCATGAAAGAAGTATATCTACTCGAGGCGTTATTTCAAATTTTAACGTGGTAATAAATGTGTCTTTTTTTTCTCTGATATTTTTTATAAACGATTGGCCCAATGAGTAAAGTACCGAATTTTCATGTCAAAGATCCTTGCAAGTATACAGTCTTTTGTATAAAAAAAAAAAAAAAAAAAAAAGATTCATTCGGGGGTACTGATAAAATTGTTACTAGTCCTATTTTGTGAAAACACTAGAAAGTTTAACCGCACTGCAACTCTCAGCGTTTGGATAAGAAAATGCCACCTTGCCCCCACTTTTGCTCGACTCCGTCGAAACAGCTAACAACAATTAATCAAAACAACTCACCATCCGTGACATCCATGCCGCCGATATGTTGCTGCACTCCGTTGTTGGATCACTTTGGAAAGAAAAAAAAAAAAAAAAAAAAAAAAAAAAATGGCACCACGACACGACACCGATAGTCCAAGGCACTTTGGGCGCTCACATAGCATATGTATACCACGTCACGTCACGTGTCCGCTGAACCAGCGATGCACGACCAATAATATTCCTCTCCGCGAATCGAAAAACCGCGAGGACTCGGGTCAGTCGTTGCGTCCCCCGTCGTCGTAGACTCGGGCACCGATCGGCCGTGTCTTGTTCGGAGAGCTCCTGTCGATGCCCGGCATTTCGGTTGCAACGCTGACGACGACTAAAACTGCAACGTGTGTCTTCTTATCTCTCCTCTTGGGCTTTCTTTGATCTCCGCGTCGATCAGATCACCGGGGATATGCCCCGATCGTTGCAGTAGCAGTTGTGGTCACTTGACTTGCCCCGATACCGCCGCTGATCTGCGAGTGACAGGCAGAATGGAAGGATCAATGCATTTTGTTGGCCAACTTTTTCTTTTGGCGATTGGAGGATTGGAACACGATATTCAATTAAAATACTTTGACTCACACGTTTTATTGATCTTTAACTCATAATACCTCATTGTAAATAAAATAATTTCACCTCTGGCCTTATCGCGCCTACAATTAAATTTTTAATTTTTCCTATCCAGTTTCTTTGACGCATGCACGTAAATACGCAAGTCTTGCCCGAGTCATATATTTTTTCATATTTATTTAATTACCTTTTTTTTTTTTTTTTTTTTTTTTTTACATAAGTACTAACAATTCTAAGGTTCGTAAATACGTGGTTCTACTACGACTCACATTGGTTACGTTGCTTACTCAGACCCAAATAATGTTTAATGACGAAATCGGTAAATTGTTCCCCAATTCCGTTGAAGAAAGTTTCACGTGTCAGCAGAAAGAAAGCGTACGTGCTTATTCACGCATACTTAATTAGATTCATATCAGGCTTGAAAATCGAGTTACACCCATCACGTACACGCCGTACCTACTTATCATCATGTATAATAGAATGCACATGTATATGTATATGATACGCGTTATCCAAAAATGCGTGGTGAATTTTAAGAGATAAGAGAAATTTGTGGGCGAGCACAATGAAGAGTTAAAAGACTGGATAACATGGAATCATGATTTCGGTTGTACGAACGATATAACATGTGGCATCGTGGATCCGCGAAAAACTTTATTAATCATCTGAGATACATGTTGGGGGGGGGGCTGGTCCATAAAAAATTCGTCTCGTCTGATTAGGATTGGTATATTAATAATAATCTTGCCTTGATTTAAACTGTATATTATTCGCACCGGTGCAAGGTATCTGTTACAAGAGACAACTAAACGTATGAGCTCAGATCGGCAACTCGATGTACCGATCGCATGTTTCAATGATATAGACATATTTATATAGAGAGATAAGGTCGTAGACCGAGTAGCATAACCTCGCACGGATGTTTTAAAAATACTCCAGTCAAGTAATTGCGTCTCTATTATCATAATATATTATGTATATCAACTCGAAACTGGACGAAGATGCTGCCTGTATATATATACAAGGTGTGCTGTCATTCCGCCTCTTGCAGCTCTGTCAATTAGGTGCATGTGTGTGACTTGATTTTTTTTACTTTATCGACTAGTCAGGCGTGTAATATATACCTCTAGATATTACAAAGTATAGGTAATGTGTACGTGGTACTCTCCAAATGTATAAATCGGTAAACATTTTCTCGCATACACACATAGTCCACATGTACCAGAGAGTTGATACGACATGAAACGAAGTAACTGCTAAATTCTGGTGAAACTTTGTACTTACCAGCAACGATTGCTCTTGTAAATGTGCTTCTTTATAACTTGTCAGTATAGTGCTGCACCTTTCATTCCAATTTACTTAATTATTGCCGACCGCGATTTCTCGAAGAATCAGGTGAATGTAATTGTCGATTCGGTTGAAAGAAGAGATGCAGGTGTAAAGAATAATAACGCAAAAAAGGATAAAAAACCGGTGAATGAGAGAACAGTCCCGGGCAACAGTCGACGACCAACTGCGCTCGTACTTTGGCGCTGTCGGTTCCCCGTCTCGTTTCGTACAGATTATGTATTACGTATATAGAATTGTACTCGCAGGCAACTCTACTATTATATTACACACGACTGCCCTCCTTTTTTTTTCTTCTCCTCCTACTTACCTCCACTTTCCATCTCTCGAACGTTAGATTCGTGTTTTGTCTGATGCGTGTGTTAAAGAGAGACCCCCCACGTATACGTATAGAAGCTCGGTATCTACATTAATCGACTTTTGTCGTTTTCACACTCGCGTTAACTGTTAGCCAAAATGTCAGTTTTTTCGCTCCTTCAACACTATATGTGTTATAGATAATTATATTCTTTCGTCACAGTAAATATGCATAAGTGTAGAAAATTACCACTTATTGGCCAATGTATAATAATTATACATTATACCTTAGACTGTACACGCGATTCGTAGTCGGTGAGGTATGCGATTTATTAGCATTATATCCACGGATCGTTACTGCCGAGGTGAAAGTTTTACGCGCGCGATACTTGTGCGAGAAGTGCAGTAGTTGTGCGCTTGTGATTTTTCATAAGCCGATCTGACTCGCGTTTACGGATAATTTTCTTGATGCAATGAGGAAGATCATATATATTAGTAATAAATTTGTTAATTGAAGGTTCGCTTAACTTATCAGAACAACCAAAGTGTCGTTAGTGGAAAAAAAGAAAGTTTTTGTTAGTTGAATCGGGTATAAAAATACGACAGATATGCGCTTAACGTTTCAATCGACGTTTATTTCGTAAATAATAATCAACAATCAATCCCTCGCGATATTACATATTAAGTAGGTGCGCACACATACATACGGACACACAATACACACACATACACGTGTTTGACAAAGTTATACGCTTATGGGTACGTATAATCTTCTTCGTTGTTAATTCGTATATAATATATGTATATATAAATGTTGTTTAGTTGCGATTCTCTTTGAGAAACAACATTAACGTTCCGTTAGTTAAATAATTAGGTATTACAATATAACGTATTACACGTTTTATACATTTTTAATGCATAAAAACGCTATTGTTCGTTGCTCTCTCTCTTTATAGGAAATATATTAATCTTCATACGTGCGCCTTTAACGCGCACTTATACAATATTATATATGATATTTATAGTACACGTATTTGTTTATATAAATTTTTTATGTACGTAAAGGGTATGAAATAAAAATTTTGTATCATGCACTGAGAAAGATGATGATGATTTCGGACTTTGCGTCTGTATGGTTATACATGTACTTAAATAGTTGAGTATGAATTAAAGATTAGTACAATTAATGACTTAGTTTTTACCGAATTCGCAATACTTATAATACACACACAACCCGCGTTGTGACTTGTATACTTTTTTTTTACATATATAATTACAATTTTCTCTTCGCCCTTTTTTTATTCATAATTTGTGTGGTATGGTAATTTTTACATGATAGTCTCGCTCAGCGCAACAATACTTCAGATCTCCCGTAAATTAGCGAAGAAACGGTAAACAAATGTTACAACGAATGTACAACCTTTTTTTTTTTCTTGTTAATGAAAGGTAATTCGCTCAACCGGCGGCTTTTCGTTTTGGGCACACTTTCCATTTTTCGATAAACTTCCAAGTTATTTACTCCGCGCAAAAACGACAGCTAATCAACTGCAGTACAACCCAAGTTTGGACGCTCGAAAGAAACAATCGTTTTCCTGTACCATGTATATATATGTATGCGAAAAACCAAAAATCGCCTTCTCTAACAATTCAAGTAAGGCACGAGCTACATTTTTTTACCTTTACGCAAAAATGACCACCAACACACGGGACGGAGGGAAGGGGGGACATAATATACGTATATAATTATACCGGGGGTATATAAAACGAATAAATTCCGCCTCGTCATTCCACGCACGCGGGATCGAAAGGAAGGGCATCAGGTAAAAAAAAAGAGAAAAAAAAAAACGGTCCCGCTCGTATATGTGTATATATTAAGTACCCGTGTAGGCCGCAGTCGAAAACTTTTTTATCGCGACGACGCGCGCTCCACATGTGATGCGTATATATGTGTACACTTGCCCCCGCGGAGATCCCGTTACGCCGGCACTAATTTCCTATACATATATAGTAAACGCATATATACTCTCGCGAGAGGAGGGCGGGGACCATCGGACGAAGAAAGAGAGAAAGAAAGAAAGAAGGAAGGAAAAAAGGCACGCGCGCACGAAAGCATTGAGAGATGCACATAATTATATACGCATATAAATATATAATATGTGGGCGTTAAAAGTCCTTATCCTTGGTCTTGTCGTGGAGGACGTTGTCGTGGTAACTGATCTCCTGGCCGGCGAGGGCCGGGTGCAGGTAGTGAGACTCGACGTCGATTTTCTCCTTGACCTCGGCGTCCGCGTCCAGGACGAGGGAGTGGTGGGGCCCGGTGCGATGGAGCAAGGAAGCGGCCACGCGCAACTGTTGGTTCTGCAGGGACGGCACCTCCTCGTCGTCCAACTCGGGCACGGCCGGCGGTGGCGCCAAGCTCGTCGACGACACGGCCAACAACGGCAACAGCTGGAGCACCTCCTCGTCCTCGCTCGGGCCCCCCTCCAGGCCCACATCCTCGTCCTCGCTCGGACTGGCCTCACCACCTCCCAACTGCTCGTCCTGGTTACTATACTTGTGCAACAGCTCGCTCAGCTTCGCCAACAGCTCCTTTGCACCCGCGTACTCAGTCGCTGCAACAATTCAATCATCGGTTTCGTTTTAGTTTTGCCTTTCCCTTTCCTATCTAATAATCACTGCACATGGACCGGCCAATTAAAAACAAAACGTCCCACGGGCCTTGGTTGGGATGATATGTAAATCAACGACCACAGCGAGGTCCACCCGCCCCCTCCCCCCTTCCGAGAGTATCGCCCGAGAGCAAAAGAAATAAAGAAACAGGGGGAGGGGAGAGGGAGTAAAGATGGCTCACCGAGTTTTTCGAGTTTCTCGAGTTTCTCGAGACTGGCGAGCTTGGCGAGCTTCTTGAGCTTCTTGTCGTCGGCGAGGCTGGGATCGTTGAGCTGCTTGAACAGCTGGTAAAACCTCTCGTGGGCCTTGGCGCCTAGGCCGGCCGGCTTGCCGGAGCCGTTAAGATTCGGGTTGAGCAGTAGGTCGGGCGTCTCGAGGATCGGGCCGAGCTGGGCCTGATGCTCGCTGCTCTGATTGCCACCACCACCACCACCACCGTTCGACATAGACTGGTGGTGATGGTGGTGATGATGATGATGATGTTGGGGAGGCGCCGTCGCGACCGGCGCCTCAGCGGCGCCGCCCGTGCCGCTTGGCGCCGCTATGACTCCGGGGTCTGGCGCCGCGGCCGAAGGCGGGCCCCCTGCGCCGTCGACGACGAGCTGCTGAGACGCGTCCTGCCCTCCTTCTCCTCCTCCCGTTGTCTGAACCGGCTCTGGTACGGGTGACGACGACGATGGTGGCGGTGGCGGTGACGTTGCCTGCACCGTTGGCGAGGTAGACACCGGCACCGGGGACGATTGTTGGTGCTGGTGGCCGTGGTGGTGGTGCTGCTGCTGGTGGTGGGCCGACTCGAGTTCCAGCGACTGGAGGAGGTTGTTCAGGTCGGGCTTTATCCGCGACGACTCCATGCACGAGCTGCACGAGCAGTTTGTGATGATCTGCACCTTCTTCTGCATCGTCGACAGGATGTCGTCCTTGTCCTTGCAGTCGAGGCTCACCTAATCAGCATTTGAAGAAAAAAAAAAAAAAAAAAAAAAAAAAAACACAAATAACTTGACGAACAACAAGATCGGGGGCGTATACATATATATGTGCAATATGTATAATATATGTGAAAAACTGATTGTTGTGTGTACCGTGTGCCATATACTGTCGAGGGGCTGGCAGGAGTCGCAGTAGGGTTTGATGAGGTCGCCCTGGACCGAGGGCTCGCTGTGGGGCACCATGTAGGAGAAGCAAGCGCCGACGCAGACGTTGTTGTCGAGCTCCTGGGACGAGCAAGCCGGCCACGTGACGACCTGCTTGATCGGCGTCGTCTTGCACCAGCTCTCCTTGTCCGGGTAAAGGACGATGTTGTGTACCTATATACGTGGGGGCATTTCATTCATACAACCACTACTCCTTAGGGGAGAGATAATTATAGTTAGAGGAAGAGGGCGAGGGTGGAGGACGAACCTTGTGCTCCCGGTGAGCTCGGAAGAGGCTCAGGTGCGCCAACAGGAGCGTCAGGGACGTGCCGAAATTGCCGAGCAGGCCCATCTTGCCCCCGTCGCCGCCACCACAACCACCACCTCCTCCTCCTCCTCCTATGTGTCCTCCTTACTCCTGAAAAACAGAGGATGGTCATTACGTGTCTATTGAATTTACCCTCGCGAAACGGCCGTTGATGGGCCCTCCCCCTCGTCACCATCACCATCGAAACCTCCCTTGCAAAGTAGAATGAGGAGACGAAAGGAGGGGACAGACGGAAAAACGCGTTTTGCTCGTCTCTCGGTGCGGAGAGCGGCCAAAACACACATACGGGAGAGCGGACGTATATATATGTTTATAGAGAAGAAGAAAGAAAGAAAGAAAGAAAAAAAGAATTAAAACGGAAGAGAGCCGGGAGGAGGCGAAAGAACGTGATAGCTATTAAGTGGCGCCGAACAGACTATTTTTTTTTTTTTTTCGCTCGCGTGGAGCCCCTTCGGTCCTCCTCCCACTGCTGCCTGTGTTTCGTCTCGTCCTCTCTCTCTCTCTCTCTATACCCCTTTATTCTTCATTTCGTCCTACCTCTCGTTTGTTTTATTGCGCATATAGGGATATGTATACATACACGCGTCCTCGTGGACAATGTATATATATAAACGCCCTCCTGGTACTCCTTTTTGGGCCCCTTACCTCCCTCCCTCTGCTGGGGCTGGCTCGTGTGTTTTTCGAGTTTAACGTTTTTCTCTTTTTCACGTTAGGCCATACATATTATATACACGATATAGCTCGCGAGCAACAGCACCTGGAAAGGAGTGATTGTTTTTTTTTTTTTTTTTTTTTTTTTTTTCTTCAGGTAGCAAGAATGTTTCTTCCTTTTTTCTTTTTTTTTTTCTTTTTTTTTTTTTTACTTATATGTATGTTTATATGCGCAGGGTTATCAGGCTACCCGCGTGTAAAAATACACATCTTACGAGGAAGAGGAATAAACAGTTATACACAGAGGGATGAGCACGCCAAAAATAGATGTACAAATTACCCGGAGAGTGTACATATGTGTTATTATTATTGTTATGTCCCCGTTGATTTTTTTTTTTTTTTTGCTTCTTCTTCTTGTTTTTGCGTGGGAGGGACTCGCTTTGTAAAGTCCAACGCACATGCATACTGCAGCTTGACGATTTTATATACTGTGACGTTTTTTTGAGAAACGCCGTTGATGGATTGAAAACGAGTAGTTTGTTTGATCAAACGAGACATGAAGAGGAAAAAAAAGGGGTAACAAAGCAGGGCCGATCCATTAAAAACGCAAAAGGATTATGTCTCCTTTCCACTTTGGCCGTATCCGCGGGATAAGCAATGCACCGCGTCTCGAGGACATTGGAAGAGGAAAAAATGTGTACTCGCCTCGAGCGCACCATCATCTCGGCAAACGTTCATGCATACGTAAAACGCGCGCCAAGATACAGCCGAGCGAGAAAACTGGTGCGATACGCTGTATATATGTGCAGTACACGTGTTGTTCGGTATACGAGGACCCTCGACCGCTACATATTCGCTGCTCTCATCTCTTCTTCATCTGTACTTATAATAAAATAGCTCCCGGCTATTGTGTGCACACCGTCCGCGCTCTGTACATCGTAGGTATGTATACCTGTACCAACGTATGAGTACAACATTGATGGCTCCTGCGCTTCTTTCTCCCTTTATCTTGTAACGCCGCACGCGGATCTCGACGGAAAAGTTCTCAAGACCCGATGGGCCGTCCACGAGAGCGTCGAACTTACGCATATATATGATATTCACATTGAGTTTGCAGGTAAATATAGCGTCTGTCTACATACTGCCATAAAACCCGAGTGCATGGCTGATATGACTTTTCGAGAGATTTTTTTTTTCCTCACCCAACCAAGTGATATTTTTGCAGGCATGTTTTCGTTTGTAAATCACAAGGTGCGATACCCGTAGCGATTTTTTTCGAAACGCCAGCCGAGCTCTGCAATTATTCACGATAACAAAGGTATATTCGTACCCGTTAAGGTCAATTATTCCGTATAACGTAAACCCTGTGTTTTCTACCCCTCCCGTCCTCCCGAGAGTTGAAAAAAAAACTACGCACAGAAAAATTGCTCAAGCCGATTGCCGGTTTTGCCCCTCCACGCGTTAAACCCGACAAACAGCAAAGTATACGACGCTGCGCGCTCGCTATACAACATTATATCAATACATTTACAAGAGTCCGTGGACATGGTACAGAGTAAGTATACATACGCGATAAGCGACTCGATTGCCTCGATGAAGTGCGAGAGATCGCGTATATTATATACCTATGTATGTATTATATAAAAGGCTCTCCTCGCACGCAATATACATACATGTGTATGTACTAGGGAGGTATGGGTGTATGTGTCCACGTATAGATGTCGGATCTAGGAGTGGACAAAAAGAGCCGAGCAAAGTCTCTGTATACTTTACTCGATCGATCGATCAGCGAGACCGAGCAACTGGTTCTCGGCGCAATGTCTACATCTATATATATATATGAGTGTGTCTTATACTGGTTTTTTTTTCTATTTCTTCATTTTTTTTTTTTTTTTCGAGACGAACAGCCGAGTTATGAATCTATGTGCATTGTGGTAAATTTCATGTAAGAGAATCGTCCTTTGGCTCTCCGCATCGCTTAATATACGAGGCAAGGGTAAACTCGATTATTACCGATCGCGCTTAATTTCTCTTGCCGACTAAAGTCCTTTTTTTTTTTTTTTTTTTTACAAATCTGATAAATTTTTTTTTTTATTCGCATCTCGTGCTAAAGCTACAGAGAAACACCGTGCCATCATCGCTAAAATTGGAATCCTCCCCACCTTCTCCATCCCGATGTCACTGGCTCTCTCCGATGTTACTGGCCATTTTTTCATCCCCCCCCCCCCCTCCTAACAGGGTACGATTTAAATCTTCATTGTATATATCGTATTTCACCTGTATCTGTCAAAAAAAGTCAAACGATTTTCACCTTCGACGACTAACGCAGGAAGAGAGAGAGACGAAGGTTTTTTTTCATCAACGCTTTGGCTTTACGTAATGCTATAAATATTGTAATTAGCTGGAGATCACGCGTTAGGCTCAAAGCGAGAGGGAGGGAGGGAGGGAGGGGAGGGAAGAAAAAACACGAGAGTCTCGAAAGGTCCATCAGGTCTCGAGGAATCGGTAAACTCCGCGGTACCCACATTCTCGGCAAACATACGCCCAAGAGGGAGAAAGCAAATAAAAATCTCGTTTCCTTGACAAACCGAAAGACGTTTCGTAAAACCCATGCCAAACGAAGGTGCGTATAGGTAGCGTCGAAAATCCCGATCGGAAGGCGAATCACGTCCCAGGAGCAAAATCATATCGTATTATTACTTTTTGCAGCCTGTACGAGTAATAAATATTTTCCGATCGATCCTCGTACACGCACCTTGTAAAAATGAAGGCCCATCTCGCATGGACAGCTGGTCGCGCGAACCCGACCCGCGGTACCTATATATACCTTGTGCAAAAAAAGAAAAAAAAAGGAGCACGAGAGAGAGCACAGTGGCTGTTACACGCTTGCCCCCTCGCTCGGCGATCCCTTTCTCGCGCCTTTCCCCGCTAATGCGAAACGTATATATGTACTTACGCGCTCTCTCTCTTCTCGTACCTTTATATACCTAGCTGCCGTCTACCTACCTATCTTTTTATATACGTGTGCGCTATACCGACACAGCATCCACCAGTGGAAAAGTACCGCGACAAAAACCCGTCTTAGATTCTGCGCGCCGATTAAACACCCGTCTTTGCCGCGTTGTGTACACCCATACGTATATTGTATATACGGTCGTGCATGGAAATCGGCACGAACGATCTACCGAGAGGCGCGAAAAAACGGTCGGGTACCTACCCCCCCCCCCCCAAAGATCGTTATCCTCCCGCGTCATTGTAACAACGTACCTCTGTTTCACCGAATATCTGGAAAATAGTGCTGGCAGTCGTTGTGGTTGCGTCCTGGTGCAGTTGCGGCAGCGATGACGGTGCGACTTACCGATCTCCCGTGCAAGAGAGCGCGCCTCGGCGAGTCATGTCAGCCGAGCACCGGACGATCTCGACCTACAAACCCGGCCCTCGCGCACTCGAGCACTAATTACCCCCCCTCCCCCAACAACAAGTGCGGGCAGCGCGATGATACCGCCTGTTTCGGATCGTTGTACGAGCTGCAGTTGTCACCTCGCGACGGTGTATGTAATCGGCTCGTGTAGGTATACGTATGGGCGCGGGCGCGCCAACAAAGTAAACCCGTCCGTGTGTGTGGACCACAGAGATAAATCGTACAACGCGTAGAGAGAGAGAGAGAGAGAGAGAGGAGCATCGGCAAAGGACACGACGTCGCCGTCGTCGACGGGATACTTACTGCCTCTCTCGCGCGAGCCTCCTGCTCGGCGGTACGGCTCTCCTTTCCTCCTCCTCCTCTCGCCTCCTTTGCCGATCTTTTTCCCTACCCACACCTCCTTGCTCTCGCGGTCTCCCTCCCCTCGGCTTCCTCTCGTCTCTTTTGCTCTGTCTCTCTCTCTCTCTCTCGCTTGCCTTGTGCGGTGGCCTGATCGCCTATACTCCTCTCGCTGTACGAGGTATATACTTGTATACCGCCGCCGGGTTGTATATACGCGGCCCTACCCCCCTACCTGTCGCTCCTCCTTGGATTTCTAACACCTTCGGCTCTCCCCCTCCTGGACCTTTTTTTTTTTTTTCTTCTTCTCCCTTTTATCCTCCTCGCACCGGGACGTTGCAACGTATACGGGATGGAATATTAGTTTTGGATTTTTCCTTTTTTGGCCAAGTTTCACTAAAAACAAAAAAACAAAAAAATCCTTATAAATAAACATGGTTCTCAGTTTTGAAATGAAAAACAAAAACAAAAACAAAAAAAAAAACCAAACTGATTGGCGCCGATTTTCTTACGCAGTGTACCGGTATCGAAAATTATAGCTTCTCAGGGCGATCGGCAACCAAAGACCCGGTCAGCACGCGACACGTGCTTTATAGCTAAAGAATATACCTGTGTGCGCACACAAATAATACATGTATGTTAAAAAGACAGATGAGAAATCGGTAGTCTCCCTCTTCTTCAACTGTGTACACGTACAGGTATACATCCATATAAAGCAAAACGAGCCAAGAGGCAGGGGTATGGGTATAGGATATAGGAGGTAAGAAGAGAGAGAGAGAGAGATTCGATCTTTGTTGTCACGGCACCTTCTTCCTCCTCCTCCTCCTCTGTCCGATGTCCCCTCCTCGCGTACATTATACATACTTGGAGGATACGAGACTCGCGCTCGCACGCATCAGGTTAATCGTGTTTCGTTCGGTACACTATACATATAGGTAAGTGTACAATATACGATATATACGTATACATGACGATGGCGATGGTGGAGGAGTTTCACAAAGCAACCGGCAAGCCGCGGTCTCTCCGATCGTCCGATGCGTGCGGGAAAAAGATCATTGTAATTTTCCTATGAGAGGCTCGCTCGCGAGCCGGGCTTATTACTACAACCGCCTCGAGTCAAGTTCCGTCGAGAGGAGCAAGTATATATATACCTACGTGCGTGTATCGTGTGTGCTCCTCTCCCGTTGCATGGTTTTCCTTGACTGCGGTCTGCCGGTTTTTTTCTGCCTCGCGGGAATCGTTTAATACCGCGCTCGTAAAATTGCTAAGTATTTGTACGATACATATCGTACGCGTGAATAACGACCGGTTCGTCTCAGGGGGGCGGGGGAAGAAAAGGCAGTGCTGTTTTTGTATCAAATCTGATTTTTCGGCCAAATCGGTTCAAAAGTTTTTACCTTTACCGGTCAAAAACTCCATTGCAAAACCTCCGTGTGCTTTTTCTTTGTTTCATGAGGGTATTGGTTTAACTACACAGAGTATACAACACAGAGCGTGGCGATCTCGGTAAAATGTAGTTGTGTTCAAAGAGCGCTTGTTTGGTCTTTTGATCAAAGCTGAAATTCGTCAACCATGAAAGAATGTAAAAAAAAAGTAAGCTCGAAGATGAAAGATCGGCAGTTGCATCGCAGCCAAAGCTCACGGATGTGAATAAGTGAGAAAACAGGCGCGCGCGCGCTGGATCGAATAAAAAGAAAAGACGAAGGGTCGAAAGCAAGAGTTGCGCGCAGGTGTGGATGGTACCTGCATGAAAGAAGAAGCGAGGAGGAAAGGGAAGGGAGGCGCGCGCCCGCACGCGCGTATAGCAAACTCGCAAAAAAAAAGACGTGCGCGCATGCCAAGGCTTTTACACCTCCTCTCTCTCTCTCTCTCTCTCTCTCTCTTTTTTCGCACCACTCTTTTCTCCCTCTTCCTCGGCGAATTCTTACTTGGCTGCTTCTTCCCCCTTTTTTCCACCCCCACCTCCCTCTTTACCAGCTTATCTCGCTCTCTCATCTTATACTGTCGTCGTGAGTGTCGTGACTCTCTTGTCGGCAAATACGATTTTCCGCTGTCCGTGTATTTTTCATCTGTCTAAAACACCTGCAGATTGGAAATTGTCGAGATTTAAAAGCAAAATGATTTTCTTACATTTCATTGTGCACATGTTTTCAACGTTACTGTTACATCATCAGGAGGAAAAAAGTAAGAAAAAAAAAAAAATACTATACGATAAATTAACGCAATCGTCCTTTACATTGTTATATTTACCATGGTTTTTTTCTCTAGTAAAAATCATATATCCACACATCACGTAAAATTATTTTTTTCTCTAAATTTAGTGACTTGATTTGAGTGTGTTTTTAAAATCAATTTGATTTAACCAAAGACTGTTTTTATTTATTTACAACAATGGTTTACCGGGAGTTTGTTGCTTCCTTATCGATTGTAGTTTTTAATGATAAAAAAAAAAATTTTTAAACATTAAACGACACGATTGGCAAAGAAAAGTGCATTTACATGCTCAGTCAGTATTTTTCATGGCTTTAACTTCAAGTACGACGGGGCCCAGAACTTTCCACACGTAGTTGAGAAAATCTTCGCACTTGCCTCTGCTGTTGATGTCGTCCCTCATCCCCCAAATGACCACCCCATCGCCACCATTTCTCGCCACTTCTTCGAGCGTATTTTTGAGCTCAGTCTTATTGCACCAAATGAAAACAACGTAATTGATTAATTGATTTACCGGAAATAAATGAAAAAAACTCTATATTTACCTTTTCGACGAAGGTGTTGTTTTTGCGATACCGATACCAATAGTAAGGTAACACTTTGACGTTGCCCCTGTTGGGGCTCTTGTTAGCGATTCTCACGGCTTCTTGCACCCTGCCTCGTACCAAACCCAGTCTCTGATCGGCATCCAAATCAGGACTCAAATACACGGACGGCAACAACAGCGACATATTCTCGTAGAGCCAGGACATTCTACGAAAATGGCACTTAGGAAAATTACACACCGAGCATCCTATGAAAAACAAAACAAAACGAAAAAACTCACTGATCGTTCTCCTTGACGATCGTGTCGGGGCAGTGATCGTGCCTGTTGCGACTCGACCAGTTGTTGCAAAAGGGATAATCGTAGTATCCCCACTTGGCCCTTGGACGTATCGTTTGGGCAAACTCGAGGGTTCTCCTCAAAAACTCCCTCGCCGCCCTTTCGTAACTCCTCTCCGCCTCCTCGTTGACCATGTCCTTATCGTGCCAATCCCCGTGTTTCCGCTGCTCTAGCCTGACGGACATGTTCTTGTAAATCTCGTACTTGCCCCACAATTGGCGGTAAATCGGGCGCCACAGCTCGAAATCAATCACTGCCGCGCCGGAAAAATTCGCGTCCGGAATCCACGTGTCCACGTCGCGTTGAAACTCCACCAGGTGCCCCGTGAGGTTCCCGTTCTGCGGCACTCCGCCGTTTCTCTCCAAATGCCGATCTGAAAGTTTGCACCCAGACACCACTTATGTTGTACACGCAATCGAAAAGCTTCAAGCCCTCGGCGCCGAATTACCATAGTCGTCCTTCAACGTTGGAAAGCTGCCAGGATCGTACAAGATGGCAATCTTGTCCCCCCGGAACTTGTCGTTGGTGTTTTGTACGACGCAAAAATCGTCTGTAAGCCCCTCGAAACTAACGTCGTGTCGGAGGCACTCGTCCGTCGGGACGTTCCAGTAAACTTGGAATTTGCTCGCGAAAGGGTCACCGTCGCACTTGATCGGGCTCTTACTGAAAGAGGAACAACAGAAAAGAGGAGGAGTTCACTCGGTGATGTTCACTTTAAAATCATTTACCCGAGTAGGTGGCTGGTTGAGATGCCGAGAACGAGAGGGACAAAAACAGCGATCGGTAGCCAGTTGGTGTTGGACATCTCGCAGATCGCGGTCGACTCTCCGACACGAGCGTGGCTGATGGCTAGTGAGTAGCTTTGGCGCGCGACTTTTTAGTCAAAGGCGAGCTGTTGTTGCCAGAGGCATACTCGCGCTCTGGCAGCCAGAAACCAAAATGTCGCGGTTTCTACCACTGAAAAATCTATGCTTTTCCACTGCCGCGTTTACGCAAAGGTGAGCCTAGCCAACTGTCATTGCTCTTAAATGTAGCGTATCGTTGTCGTCGCTTCGCATCAGGGGTATATGTATAATTGTGCTTGCGTGCCCGCATGCATTGCATACAGGGATACGCGACTCGAGAAATCAGTGTTCTCGATTTTTTTTTATTATTAAACTGTTGCAATGTTAAACTATATATCAGTCGATGACTGACGCGGCACATCAAAAATTTGCTCAAGTTATTCCATCAGATATTATATTTTTGTCCCATCTTGGGTAACCGTAGATGTCCCCTATGTACGAGTATACTGCCACTTTATCGTCTCCAACTCTTATGTAATTTATAATGTTCTAATTTCTTGTACTGCGCACTTATTGTAACTTGTTACACTGTAAACTTTTTGAAGCCATAACGTGGTTGTACTACATGGCTTAATAAATTTACTTACTTACTTACTTATCGCTCGGAAGCTCCAACTGAGGAGATTAGCAAGCACATTCGATAGCAACCGCTTCGAGACTTCATCTGGAGTTGCTCGTTTTTCAGCTGCCTGCGCTCCAAGAGAAGCTTGGACACTGTACAGGCGTGCGAATTAAGCACTTGGAGCTCACCCATATTGACGTGCGAAACATGTATTTTTATCCATTTACTCAACTTTTGGCTGGTATAAATTTTTATTTTTATCTAAACTATGATATTTCTCAGTTTTTATAAATCATGCTGTATTCATAAACACACAAAGTTTGCTAAGTACTTTTTTTTTTTTTTTTCTCAAATTAGATACGTTTAAAGATAATATGTAACCAGTCACTGGCAACAATTTACAATGTATTCGCTATGCACAAAAGTAAAATTGCTTCAAACGATGTACATCAGGTGAAATATTTACAGTATAATACTCTATACACCAATAGCAGCGAACTTTGCCAAACAAAAGCGAGCATTGGCGCACCATTGAAACACTAAAACTAAACGTACTTTGAGTAGGTAAAACTATTCATTTACTTGTGCGCATTATACAAAAAAAAAAAAAAAAAAACACACACATTAAGTACACTGTGAAAGTTGAACAAAAACATAAATAATCGACGCGTCTCGCGTAGCTACATCATTGGGCGTCGAGTTGTTGCTTCAACTGGTAGACAGTAGGCCCGAGAATTTGCATGAGATAAGCGTAAAAGTCCCGACACTTGGTTTGGCTGTTAAAGTCGTTCGAGCTGCCCCAGATTACCACACCGTCGGCGCCTCGCTTGATCGCTTCCGTCAACGTATTCGTGAGATCGCGCTACATGAGAGCCAAAAATGAAACATTTTCACATTATCTTCATGTTTTTTTTTCTCCTCTATACAATAACAGATGTATCTTTGATTCGCACCTTATTCACAAACACGTTCGTTTGGTCCTGGTACTTGTACCAATAGTAGGGTAAGACTCGCGAGCTTTCCCTGTTCCAGGCTTTCCTCGAGAGTCGCACGGCCTCCTGTACCCTGCCCCGCACTAGTCCAATTCTCTGGCTGGCGTTGAGCTTCTGTCTGAGGTACACCGATGGATAGAGATTCGTTTTGCTGCCAAACAGCCATGACATTCTACAAAACAAGGGACAAGTAAATATATGCACTATTTTCCCATTGAGTCAATATTTTTTCTGTCAAAAATCATGAGCTGTGGTGATGCGATGTTTTTTTCTCCAAAAATCAATTGAACAAGACGATTTTGGAACTTTATTGTCTTTCCAAAGTGAAAAAATGTTTAATCACCAATTCACTGTTAGAAAAGGCTTTATGCAATTTAATAAAAAATGGTTTGGAAGCCAATTTAATGAGACATTAATACTTTCACTTATAGAATTTAATACTACATTCCATGAAATGTGATAACAATGTATATTAACTTGTTTTAAGAATCGAAATTATGAAATTTAACGCACAAGTGGCTCTTGAATGTCTTTTGAATTTAAGAATGTTTCTGTAACCGTGAAGCTCTGGAAAAAAAGCAGAGCTCCGAATTATTATTGTGCCGAACACGATTGCGCAAGAGCCGAAAATTCCACTTCAAATCGTGAATATCCGTTGCGACGTAAGTATTTCGTTCAGCAAATGAATAGTTTCCGATCTCAACTAAGATTTTTAACGAGCAATTAACAAAAATAAAATCATCGAAAAAAACCACAAATACCGAAAAATTAAAACACTAATTGTGGCAGCGATAAACAATAGTAGGCCGACACCTACCCAACTGATAATACTTTTCAGATAAGAATTCGTGGAAAAATTCCAAAGGATTTTAGGAATAACCCCATTTTCTACAACCTCGGGCATTGTTTTTCACCTTTGAACGTTTACTGCACCCTCAATAGAAAAAATAGAGTTCGCGATCTACGAGCCGATCTTAGCATGCAATATACATGACGCGTGTGAGCAAGTGTGACGCATAAGTACAGACAGACCCGTCATTCTCCTCGACGGCTTTCGAGCTGCACTGGGCGCTCTGTTGATTGGGGGTCCAGTTGAAGCAGTAGGGGTACGCGTAGTAGCCCCAACCGGCCCTCGGCCTGAGCGCCCTGGCGAGCTCGAGGCTCCTCTGCATGAACATCCTGGCCGATTTCTCGAACCTGTCGGCCGCCTCCTGCTGAACGGCCTTTTGACTCCAGAACGGGTGCAACTGGCGCTCCACGTCGTACGACAGCTCGCGGTAGATCTGCAGCGAGGCCCAGTTCTGCCGGAATATCGGCCGCCAGCTCTCGAAGTCGATCACCGCGACCCCCGAGAACTCGGGATCCTGGATCTGCTCCTCCACGTGGCGGCGGAAGTGATCCAGGTGCAGGGTCAGGTTGCCCTGCTGCGGCACCCCGCCGTTGCGCTTGACCACGTTGCCTGGATTTCCAGAAAATTATAACGTTATACTCAAGAAGGATGGCTTTTTTTTCATCTAATCGAATGATCATTTCGCGTGCATACAGTACGTTGTAAGATCGGTAACGCCTCTTTACCGATTTCTGTGCAGGTACGTTTCACTATTTAATCGCGTTTGACCGTTTAAAGTGTTTTAAGAGTACAGTTGACGAAATTTGTTGCTACTTTTTGACAAGTGCTCTGTCATCATTATTTTTACCGATTTTTTTTTTTTTTTTCCATACGCACCTGGTTGTTAATAGTATGTAGAAATAATATATAATTACACGTCTGGATGCAAATGATGAAAGTTCCTCTGGTTTTTTAAGGCGTCGTATTTCTTTTTTGTCGTTTCAATGTACCGTGTACCGATTTGACGCGCAAGTTTTAGAAAAATTGCGCCTATCAATCAACGCAACCGTGTATATAGGGTACACGTATTATGTACCTTCCTGCATACGCAATAACAACAAAGATGACCATCGGGGAATAATCACTAAAATTGCGCACTTTGCGTGCATTGCGTCACTCCCCTTTTATACCTATTGGTAATTTCACAATACGCGTATTTTGTGCAAACACCCAACAATAGACGTACTTCTCAAACTCCAATCGCAGGAAATATTTTTTTTTTTTTCATCCATCCTAACAACACGCATGTATAGGTCCCGAATTTTCAAACCATCTCGTATCTCTCGTCCGTGACACATAATCAGATAATTGGAATTTCATGTGTGTCACGGTGACAAAACGCTCTCCGTTCGCAAACAACAGAAAGGAGAGAGAGAGAGAGAGAGAGCGATAAAAAGGTCATCGTAAGTTGTACTTGCCTTTGTCGTCTCTCAAAAGAGCGGGAAAATCGCCGGGATCGTAGAGAATGGCCATCCGGTCGCCCCTAAAATCGTCCCCCTCGTTTTGCACGATGCTAAAATTTTGCGACACCTCCGTGAAATCCATCCCGTACTTGTGACACATGAACGTCGGGACGTTCCAGTAAAATTGAAACTCGTCCGATACACCGGCGTAGGGAGTAGATGTGGCGAATCTGAGAAGAATAGAAAAACGATCATCATTTGTTGTCATTGCAAATACGTAACTAGAAAAAAAAAAAAAAACTATTATTTTGGACAATTCAGCCAAATGCACTTCATCTATGTACAATGTATACAAAGTTTGAATGGACAATCGCTTGTTAGCTGTGTGTACAATACGGAAAAGCTATTACGGCGAATCCAGGTGTAACTAGATCGAGTTTGCTCGTATCCGAGCACGGGCTAGGTATATATGTATATAATACAAATATATCTGAATGGCCCTCGCGTTACCACAACGAACGAACGAACATAAAAGTGACGTGCATTGCAACAAAGTTTTCAAAAGTCACCAACAGCTGTATGTTTAATTATACCCAAAAAGCTTGCAGCGAGTCCTGTCGACGAGGCACAAGCAGAGAAGAATCGGCAGCAGGGGCCATCCGATCCTTGGGTTCGTCATCGAGCCGATCCGAAGAGCTTCCCGCGCAATGACTTTTGAACCGGCCGGTTATTCCTCGCAAAACTCACTTTTTCGTCCCGAGAATCGCGAGCGCTCTCGGTTACGGGTATAGCGGAGCTTCTAATCAGAGGAGCCGCGAAGAGTAAGCGCGCGCGCTAGGTGCCCCACCATCGACCGTTTGCCAACTTTTACGATACCTACCTACATATATATAAATACGCGCTTTATTGTTGTACTGTGTGCATATGGTTTGGAAGAAGCAAGAGCGAGGGACTAAGTTGGAACGAGTCAGTTTCTCTCCGACATTGGGCCTCGCGTTCGCTTATCACTCTCTACTCGAGGTGTGCTCTTTATTGGTGATAATCTTGTTCCTCTCCCTCCCTCTTTGCTACCTTTTTTTCCGGAGCTTTTTTTTTTTTTTTTTTTTTTTTAATTATTAAGGCAAGTGGCCTGAATTCATGGGGAAAGACTAGGTTTTTTCGCCGCGGCTGATGCATTCATTGCAAGAGTAAAAAAAGTTTACTTGAAACATGATCAAGTTTGATACGTCGCTTTTAAATGTCAATTGAAAATTGAAAGCTGTAGATGCACTGCAAAACGATTTTTTTTGCTACACCCGAAAAAATAATTCTTTACCATACTGAATTGTTTGTTTAACTTGTTGAGGAAAAGCCACTTTTTGGCCAATTTAAGCAGGAGTGAATATTGTTTGTTCATTCCAAGCATTGTGTAACATCAATTACGAAGTTGTCTATTCTCATCCTTTGTAACTTGTTGCTAGGGGTTCGTAATTGTAATATAATAAGGAGATGAGAAAAAAAAAAAACTCGTGCTTACAAATACATTTTCGCTGATTAAATACACGCATACCGTACGTTCGGAGTGGCAGCTTAAAGGCAAGAACCGCGCGCGTGTACAAAAAGATAGCGGCGAGATTGTCTAACAAGTGCCGGTATAGCCCAAGGACTAACGCCGACTTTGCGCAAGGACGTACCATCCTTGTTTTTTCGGCGATTACCGCTTCCAAGTAAGTCTTTTCGCCGGAAAAGGTATAGGTGTCCTCTGTTGTATGCATAAAAATAAAATAATTAGTTATAACCGAGCGTCTGGTTAAATTATTACGTTGCGAATAAAACAGTGTTACAACAATATTAGAGTTAAAAATAAAATTGTTTGCTTATCTTGTTTTGACAGTTGACACGCAAGTTTCATTGCTCCCATTAGTATAAATTATCAAAGGAGTCAACAAATCCATTAATTATGCGAGTAATAGGGGCCTGTTAAACCAGTTTTTAAAGACAAATCAAAATGTAGGCTACTGATTACATTTTACAGATGATTGAAGAGTTTGAGGATGAGGAAGAACAATACTTGGGAAAAAATGAACTTTGATTAAATTCGTGCTTTTTATTATTACCTCTTTCGTCCCACCTATTAGCCAAACATGCTACCTTAATTATTTATTTCTATGTCGTTTGCATAAAATTACTTTACACTTCATTCAAAAATTAGATTTTTGTTGCCCAACAAAACAATTCTCGCTTGTATCATCGTTTATACAAATAAACAGATTATATAATCATCTGGGTATTCAAAATTTTTCACAAAAAGCGTATTCTTGTTCCTTTCCTTCATCACACTCTGTCTATTACACTTTTAATCAGCTATCAACAAAATTCTCATTGCACAGCAAAGACAATGAGATACTAGAGTAGCAGCAATAGCAACAGCAGCAGCATATAATGCACGACAATAACAATAGCAACAACGTCAACGTTGCATCCGATTTTTTTTTCACGTTTAATTCATTGATACCGATCATCACTAGAAAATGAAAAAACCATTAGAATCTTTCATACATGAACACTCGTACATATTCCAGTCTCCCATCTTTTTCTTCAAATTCATGGTGTTCTTCCTCGATTTCGAGACTTTTATTTCTATTCAACTGTTTTTGTATTTTTTGTCCTTCTTTTATTGTAAAACAAGGCCAATCTTGTCGGGCGTCATGCTCGGACATCGCCAATTGTAAAGGTAGTATTGAAGATTGCCGTCGCCAATGCCAAACTTAAGGGGCTCTAGGAAAGTCTTGTTGTCCATTAGATCAAGCGCGTTAAACACATCAAATTGGAGCTGTGAAAAAAAAAAATGAATTTTCATTTTATTGTTAAACAATCTTTGATTAAATTAAATATCACTTATTGCGCCGATTAAATAACGTGATAAAAATTGGAAATTTAAATTTATTTAGATCAATATTAAAATAAATTCAGTAAATCCATCAACTTGCGAGTTGTAGGGGCATACTAGACTAATTTACAAATAATAATTATAATATTCTGGAAAGTGATATCTTTCATCATGATTTAAATTGAAAAAAAATGCATTAAAATGCTTACATTTTTCGCTGATATGAGAGCATCTTGCATGAGTTCGAGCCAAGGTGTCTTTGTAGAAACGTTGTAAAAGCTGTATGCTGCTTTCAGAGTTTTGTGCACTTGATGATGCATCACTGAACTCGGCAAAGTGTAATAACTCACCATGTCCGTAATGGCTTTAGTTTTGGGATTTTCTACCACAAAAGATGAGACAATACCATCTTGCGGCGCAAACCAGTGCTTGAACTCTTCTTCCGTAAAAATCGGCGATAAATTGAATTTAGTCAAATACTAATGAACAGAAAAAGTAAACATTTATCAACAAAATCAGTCGTATGTTATTACGAAATCATGTTACGAAATTACCTCGCTTAGAAGTTTGTGAGCTTGTGGCACGTCTGCGAGAGTCAATTGTCTGAAGCCAGGAACTTTTGGGATATCCGGTAGCTTGTAAAACTTGAGAGTTCTCTGCATCGTCATGTTTCGCGACAGATGCGAGAACTTGATGTCGATGAGCTTTTTTGGATTTAACGAGCGATGCCAATATCTACAGGTAGCCACGGGTTTTGGAAGCACTACGCCCGCAGTGTAGACTGCCTGAAATATACCCTTCAAATTTACTCGTCGTGTTATCTCACGAATCAATACGGGCGCGACGCGCTTCGACCGCAGCTTTTTGTGAACACAGAGGAAATTAATTTCTACCATTTTTTGAGTCCTGTAATCATAAAATCGACATCAGGAAATATTTAAGTAAAAGAATTTGAAAAAAAATGAGGCGTTTACTGACTTATCATAGACTCTAACTGTAGCTGGAATGGCAGATATAAAACCTACTAGTTTACCACTCTTTTTAACTCTGACTCCACAGCGCCATTCGTTGTGCCAACCTGGTGGTTGCAAGGCCCTGCATCCAAATCACCAAAAATCATCAATGTTTTATAGATGAAAATATTTTTAAAATACTCTGTTAAAGAATTTACCATTTCAAGAAGTCTTTTGGATAGTCAAACCTAAACATAGCATCATCGTCTTCTACGTAATTTTCTGTCAACAGCACATACAATTCTTCCAGTACATGAGGATCATCCAAATTTAAAGTATCCCATTGGAAGTCCTGTGGAAGCGAGTAGGGCTCATCTCTAATCGAATCCTTATCTGGTTCAATAGGCTCGTTGCTAACAATTGTTTCATCTATGTGAAATTCATAAGATCTCGTAAAATAAATGTCATTTGACAAATATGATAAAGTGAGCATAAGGAAAAAGTAAGCTATGTACCCATTTTTGGTACAGGCTGGGTATTCCAAAACTGATAAGACTTTTGCATTGCTTCTTCTGGAGTCTTAGCAGACTTTTGCTGCTTCTGAATCACATCCATGGCCATTTGTAATTCCTTAACGGAAATATTAGGGAAAGTGCTAGGCACTTGCATAGGTAGTGATGGTACAATAGAATTTTGTACATCATTGGTATTATTGCTTTGGGTTGCAGCTCCACCAGCATTGGATTGCACTTGAGCATTTTTCTTTTTATTCTTCTTTTTACTGCTGTTTGAAACAAAATTAGAAACAATAACCAATGGTTCACACAGTACAAAGATAATAAAGATAAAAAAAAGGTAGGAAAACTGCGGTAGTATGGTGTTGAAAAAAAACATTACAATTATTAACTCAAGGCGGTACCAGTGACCCCCTCCCCAAGACCTTATATTCTAACCTCAACATTTTCTACTCCAAAACAGAAACATTTAGATCTAACATCAAGTCTCCCAACCCGTTGGAGCACGTACGAGAAACATATAAAAACCTATACTCATTGGGATGAAGGGAAAACAAAATTTATTAAGAAACACCAAAAATACCGAGTACAGAAGCGAAAAAATACTCCACGTGCATCCAAGGCCGCACTTTAGTGCTTTATCCTCCATAACAACAAGAAGCTTTTTGGGAGCTTTGATCACTATCGAATACCCCCTATATATACGAAGCTTATTTATTACTTTGCTATCTAATCATATCATTCAAGCGTGCGCGTGTACTTATATCGCGACCCCTGCCCCCAAAATCTATATCGCGTTGCGGAAGCTCCGAAACTCAACTTATTCGTTTTCATCGATTTAAGGAAGTTTAAGAGGCTATTATGCGACCAACCAAGGAAAAAGTAAACAAAGCTGCAATACGTACACCGGAGCATTTAAAGTTTAAACGATGATGAAGTTCACAAAGGTAAATAAATAAGGCACGTGGTTGCGAGCGAAGGAAAAAAAAATAAAAGCAGAGGTAAAAAAACAAAACAAAAAAGTGGACTGCTCGCCTCTTGGTTCCGCCATCTTTCTCGTGCTGCTGTTTCTGCTCTTCCTTGAAGGCACCGTCTTCACGGACTTGCCTCTGAGCCGGCTTTGCCGCAGGCTTGTCCTCGGCACCGTTCTCCATGTTGTTCGCCCTTCCTTCTTCTCGCCCACACCCTACACACACTCGGCTCTTTTTCTCCTTCTCTCTCTCTCTCTCTCTTTCGCTCTCTTGCACTTGTATTTGTGTGCTTGATGACAGAAAAATTATACACTTAGCCTACAGGCAGCTTATTTTCTTCACTTTTTTTTACACTTATTTGTACACGAAGTATACGAGCACCAAACTACACGCGTCGTGTTACTGTTTAGTATAGATAGACTGTCTGCAAAAGTGTACTTTATATACCTATACCTACAATATATTTTTCAACTTTTTCGTGCTGGTGTTGCTTTTTTCTCTTTGATCAACTGATGGCAAGAGCTATGAAGAATTAGCACGATTTTCGTTTTTTACGCTGGCGACAGATGGCAGGCTTTCATCAAAGTTGCGGGGTTGGGTTTATATATATATATACATATATATAAATATATATATATAATTAACTTTGCAACGCTTCCAACCGTGTAAATAAATTATACTTACATGGTTTAATCGAATTGGCTTTTTTAATATCAAATTTGCAAAAAATGAAGGTTAAAATGAAGGAAGTTTGTAAGGTTTCAGGGTAAAGAAATAACAACGATATTGCGTTGAGACTTGAAAATTATTTCGTATATTTTTGTAAGATACTGCGATTATATGGATTTAATTTTTTAAAATAAAATTATACACGAAACAGAGTTATATCATGTTAATGAAATTTTTTCATATATATATAAAAAANTTTTTTTTTTTTTTTTTTTTTTTTTTTTTTTTTTTTTTTTTTTCTTGTGTTTTTTTCGTACGGGTATGTATAATTTACTCGACCATGCACGCGTTCCTCCTTTCGTTTTTCACATCGCCAATGACTAACTTTTAGTATATTCATCCTCGTGATTTTCCAATTCGTATATATATATATATATATATACATCTATATAATTGTAATATGATCTTCGTTTTAGTAACCATTAAATATAATATGCGTGAAGAGTCGAACAATTCCTTTATCGTGCAGACGTCACTACTTTTCGTACATATGTAAGTGCAATGCAATATATATCTGCTCTTTCGAAATATACTTGGTAAATGAAAATATATACGTTTTTGGGGGTCCAGAAATAGATTGTGAAATTTAGAGAAACACGTTACTGGAATGGAGGGGTCCAACGAAATTGAAACGTTTTGTGTAGCAGTTGAGCGATGTTCATTGGAAACATTTGGAACAACAAAAAAATTCAGTTGTAGGTACAATTTTGGATATCAAGTACATTATATATATATATCTTTTTTCGCAAAATTTCTTATTTACGTCATGTTAACATATGATAAACTCCACGCGCTTCTACCTACAGCGAAATTCAGAGAGTTTTTACTTTGTGCTTGATGTGTCTCTGAAAAATCGTTAAACTTACGTTAAAGTGTGTGCGTGTTTTCAATATATATTATTATTTTTTTTTTTCTTGTAATATTATTATTTTTCTCCGATGTACGCAGCCGAGGAAAAGTCAAACAGGGGAGACGTAAGGAATCCACGAGAAAATGTGTGTTTTATCGCTCAAGAAAAAAGAAAAAAAAAACATGGTATACCGATACACATTTGACACTTAATTTTCTCGTCCTCCGTATCATCTCCCCAACCCCTTTAATCTAAAGTTTTATACTCCATACCGCTCGGCCCGTTCGTACCCGTGGATATACAGTCTCCAAGGGGGGGTTGGTACGTGTGGGTATGTCTGTTTACCTGCTACTTTTATTACTCTAAACTTTTACTATGGAAAGTCCGCTCTCGCGCACGAAGGAGGATGAGGCTGTCGGGGAAAGTTGGCCCACCTCGTTGCTTAATACTTTGGTTGTTTTTACATACATACAAATGCATGTGCACTCGTGAATAATTATTTATATTGATAATAGAGAAAAATTCACAAACGTCATATTTGCGTCACGTACTTGTAACTTAGAGGTGTATATATTTTGTAATTCTTCGTCTCGATTTTAAACAAATATAGGATTTCTCTAGACTTTTAATATGTTTCCATTAGACAGTTGAACGCTCGAGCGGGTAACTTTTGTTCCCGGCAGTTTCCTTATCTCCACGTTAGATATTATCTCATTTGATCCGAGAGAAAACGTACACGTTTTTCCCCAGATGCCTGTACTTTTGTTCGCATCATCATTTAACATTAGGTATATTGTATGTTCTTTGGCAACGTATCTTTATAAATATGTACATAACGTTTCTAATTGTGTTTCTTTTTTTTTTTTTTTTTTTTTTTTTTTTTTCCAAGTGTATTTTATTTTTTTCATCAGTTTCATTGTCACGTAAGAAAAACCGCGCAAGTATACAAATAACAGATCGATTAGGTCAAAGAGCACACACGCCCCAAAGGCTGAGCTCCAAGTGAATAATCGGAAACTTGTGCGTCCAAATGAACATAATTATAGTTGACACTCGTTTATTTATTCATTTTATTTCTCTACTTTTATACTTGCATGATCATGTCATACCATCGATGGAATTCTGCAACACTTCATAATTAAACAATTATAATTAACAGAATACGTAACGGAAAGATTTTTATTTTGACACGTAAAATCAGTTTGTAGGGTCGAACAAATAAATTTTGCAATTAAAACGTTTTTTCTTCTTGTAAAAGAGAACGAAAAATTGGTACCCTGCAGAACTGCATCGACAGCAATACGGTGTGTAAACAAACATTACAATCGAGATTATTTCTTTTTGTGTGTACTTATAAAGATAACTATACTGAGAGGTACAACGTTACACAGGTGTATTTTTCTTTACTTCCACCTTTAACAGGCTTGTAAATATTTTTTTTTTTTTTTTTTTTTTCTTGTGTGGAGTGATACAATAGTTTGGCTATCGGTAGGTAGAGATTTGTCAGCTTTTACGCCCAATCGTCAACTGAACGTTATTCCCTTCCGCTTCCCTCGAGCTACACCCGCTACATATGTTTTCACTATGTATATTTATGCGTATGTAATATAATTATTATGATTCAATTCAGACGATAGAAAACGCATCACACGACAACGCGTGTCCACGTGCAATGTAATATGTGTGTATATAAGTAATACGTGCGACTCAGGAAATAACCGTATATGCAAGTTTTCCTTTTGGAAAACGAATTCAATCGTGTCGTAATAATATATAACTTTCGTACTTGCACACGCGCGCGTGACTTTATTTATTCCTACGTAATATTTTGCTACTGTTATGAAAAAAATGTGTTTGTAAGTTATACATAATGTGTGTGAGTTAAGTAAGTCTCGTGTGCTATATATATATTATCCTCTCGTACGTCTTCGTATCGTTTTTCCCATGTCATCACGCATATAATTATAATATACATAGCAACGCATCTATGGTACATCTACAATGCATATTGTACATATATTTGTTACAAGATGTGTACAGTTATCAATTCCATTGGTTCATTTTTTTTTTTTTTTTTTTTTTTTTTTTTTTTTTTTTTTTTTTTTTTTTTTTT